AATGCCAAAATACCAGATACTAAAAATAAGAGCACTTCCTAGGCTGGTATTTCTGGAAAAAACAAATATATATTCAATAATATCGTTTTATGTTGGTGTCGAAAAGCAAAGATGTTCTGCATTTCAGTTTGGAATGCCAGAGTTTGAGCACCGAAGAGAAAAAAAAAAAAAAATATCAAGCCAAGCAAAATGTAAAATGTATTCTGTAATTGTTGGCTAGTAATTTGTAAATCACTGGGCCCAAATGCATAACTTTTTCCAAACAGGGACATTTAAAAAAAACAAAAATAATTACAGAAACCCCAACATGTTTCAGTAAAACTACCATATTATCCATTTCCTTGAGTAAAAAGAAATGTAAATATGTGAGTTATTTTTTTATTTTTTTAACACTGTGTGAGCCAGAATTTGTAGAATAATATACTGTCTGATTAGCAGTCTGGCATTAAAGTAGTTAATTATGTGCACTAACAATTCTCAGTACATTAGGGTTGTTTCAAACATAACAGAAGAAAATATTCACTTCCCATATACCCCCCCTTTTTTTTTTTTTTTTTTACAATAAATAAAAATACACCACTTACGATGGGGGCATATATGTAATATGCGGTTATTTGGGGCTATTAACCTATTAGGTCCTTTTGCAAAATTAGATTCTCAATTCCTTTAGGGCAAATACAGTGTAGCCATTAACATGTCTCATTTTAATTTGTGTCAAACAGGCTTGCAAAACTTTTTGTTGTTTTCGTTTTACGGTAATCCCTTCATACCGTTCGTACACATATACAGTTAATTTAATTAACTCAAAGAATCATCTGTTTATGCAGGTTTCCGATTTCCAGATTTGGAATAAAATCAGCTAACACGATGATATTCTAAAAAAACGTGTTCTAAATGAAATATTCAATAACCCTTAATATGCAGAGCAGAAGAAGAATTACTTTAATGAATAGGTGCAACTCGTTGCTCTTTCTGTCCACACACAAATATGTTTTAAAAGGAGTACTACTGATTTAGAAAGAAGGTGTTTTGACTAAACTAACTGGGATTTACCTTACTTTGAAATCTGTGTTTCAGCAAAAGTTAAACCTCGGTTATCATTTTTCTCATGCACTCTGCGTAATTCAATATATATTTCTTTAAAAAACAAACAACAAAAATAGGTTTTTTTGGTTGTAAGTTTTTTTTTGCCAATTTTTATTCAATGATCAAATAGTACATGAAAAAGTACTTGAACGCAGAAACTGATAAATGTACCTTTAAATGATTGCAGCAAAATTAGTAGCACAACTAACTTAATGTTAAAAAAGTGAAAGTATCACTAATAGGAGAGTATGCTTTACTTTTATAAATATAGAGGAGATTATTAGAGCTAATATGTTGCTATTCAATAATATGGCTGTATGTACATTCATGATAGAACAGTGTTCAATATTGCAATAACTGGAGTCTCTCCTTCCATTGGGAGACACATGAAGTTTGCACAAAATACCAACACGCATACAGCATTCATTCTAAACAGAAAAAAATACTACATTCCTTTCTGTTCACATTTTCAAATAGGCACCTACTTTTTACTGTATTTTTTTTCTACAGATTAGTAAATGTTGGTGTCAGAGCATAGTAAATTCGTATTTTTTAAACGCCATATATTAAATGCAATTAATAGAATAGCGCTTTTTTTTCTTCTTCTACACTCCAATGACGGCAGCAAGATCCAAGGTAAAAGCAGATCTCAAATTGTCACCTACAGGAAACCGTATTTAAGACCACGATCGTTGTGTTAAAAACCATAAACTGCAAGATGTATGCAAATCCTGTTCATTTTCAAATGTACAAAAAAAAATATATTAAAGCAACAATCTAGGCAATGTAACCATTACAACTCGCTCTCGTGACTGGGTTGTCTACCATCCTCTGATGCGATCCCCAGTATAATATTAAACCATTTTAGAGCTGTGACTACCTCCAACTTGGTCACTCTACAATGATCAGTGTTCTTTGTTTAACTTGAATTGGCTCTCATGCACTCCGCATCATCCAGGTTTAACGCTGACATGGTTTACGTGCTAATTCTGCAGTCCCTCTGCACAAGGAAGAATTTTTGTTTATATGAAACATTATGATGCATAATCATCCATAATATTATGCATATTAATAATAAAAATAGCCAAAATAAACAAAGAATACATTTTATAAACCCGATTGCGCCATAGTTTACCTTGTATTAATTCGTAATACACTTGAAAGAAATTTTCATTTTGTATAAGCTGTAACTTCCTAAAACGTGCAATCACATTGGTTTTATCGAGCTAAGAAAAAATGCATGTCAAACTGCTTTTCATGTCTAAAATAAATGTAGGGAGTTTGAAACATTGCCCTTATTGTATGAAGACAGGACTGTATTCTGTATTAACACAATGGTATATTTTAAGGACTGGATTCTAAAGGCGCACTGCAAAAACCATAATCATTATAACACATTGTAGTGATAATGATGGCAGGAGTGGTCTGCCCCTTTCCCCATTGAAAGTAGTCAAATCATTTTAGAACAGTTAACCTTCACCACTGGGCGGCGCTCTCTGCCTCCACTACAGCCTCCAGACTGGCCGGTAGCTCTTTGTCTGAGCTAAGCCCTGCACAGTTCATTGGCTGAGAGCAATCAGCTGACACAATGCAAGGCGTAGCTTATGAGAGAGAACGGAACCTCCTAATCGGGAGCCAACGGCTTTCTTGAAGGATTGGAGGAAGTGGGGAGCAACGGCTGGAGGACCGCAGGTAAGAATTGGAACCGTCCTAGAACGGTTTGATCACTTGCAATGGGGGGGACACCATAACCACTACATGTCTTGTAATGCTAATGGGCCTTTGAGTGTTCCTATAACTGCTGTTTATTGTCAGTATTCTAAGCATCCTTATGCTGTCCTGATGGAGTGCTTTATAACCTTTCAAAATGCTTTAAATGCTTCTTTTTATATATATATACTGTATTCGTTTTCTGACAATCACTAGATTTTAATTTTTAGGATTGCTTTGTATGTGGTATGCATGCTAGAAAGAGCCTGCCATTCTCACAATTCATTTCAGTATTTGTATAAAGAAGCTAGAAGTTTATCCAAAATTTACCATTCCTGACCAGTTTTAATAAAATGTAATCGGCTGTATTAGTTGGAAATTTGGCGATAAATCTCTCATTGTATGGATCAAATCACCAAGTTAAAATCCGTACTGCAAAATTAAGGTTTTAATAAACACATGGTATTAATAGTTGATCTGGATAATTTTTCCAAACCTGCTTTATAGTCCAATACAATCCGGTAGTACCTTTAACAAACCAGCATTACTGATTCGTGCCCATGGCTACAGCCATATATCACGGCTGACTTGTCCTCTAATCCACCGACTCTCAGTATATTGCCAATTAGGTCACTTTTATGGGACGTAGTATGTGGGTCAGCATTGGAGCAACTTTCTAAATTTCTAATGTAAATATTTGGAGCCTTGGAAACCCTTTTTATCAGGAGGAATATTTTGACACCCAGAGAAATAGATCAGTAAAATTCTAAAATCGGGTTCCATATAATCATGCAGCTGGCAAAGGCAATGTTAGCATGATTTCAGTCTTAAAGGGATACTATAGTCACCAGAACCACTGCAGCTTAATGTAGTTGTTTGAGTGTCTACTGCCTGTCCCTGTAGGTTTTTTCAGGGGAAAGGCAGTGTTTACATGATGCCTACAGACACCTCTAGTGGCAGTAACTCAGACGGCCACTAGAGGTGATTCCTACGTTCATCGTCTCTTCGCTGTGCGTGGAAGCACAGAACATTCCCCCTAGAGATGCACCGATTCAATGCATCCCTACGAGGCGATAATTTTCATAATAAAGCCTCAAACCAAAGCCAATGTTGTGCTTGAAAACATAAATCCGACTGTTCAGGTGTAGTGATTTTTTTGATATAACTTCTACCTTTTATACAGCAACATATTCAGATTTGCAGCTGGCCTGTAAACATGCAGTGTATTAGAATAGCTGGTCTAATCTAAATGATATTTGGTGCCAAGTCCAATTGCGTTCTTTAGGCTTCCTTTGCTCTGTTAATCAAATGCTTATAACTCAAGTCAATATTGATTTCTTTGTCCATGTAAAATGAAATATTTCTCATATTTCTGCTGTAAAAAAAATCACCATGGATACAGTTACTGAAATTCTAGTGTTTTAAAAAAAGATGCGAGGAGAAAAAAAAAAAAGCATTTTTAAAGAAATGTAAAAGAAATTAGTAAACAACTTTTTAAGATGGCCTTAAGAGTGTTTTGTTTTTATTTTGTCTTGTATATTGTCTTATATGTATGGATTTGGATTTTATAAGAAACTCTGGGAGATTGCAAATAACCATGTTTCAAAAGACGGTCTGGAAGCACACCTTCCACTCCTGCTGTCTCTCTAATTAGGCGATTTAGGTGGCTGTATAAGTCTTGCTCTCACTGGGGCCTTGCAGCTGCCTAACCGGAGAAAATGGCCTGTGGGAAGGGGTAGGCAGCAGAGAGCCACCACGAGGAAGTGAGATGAGCAACAGCAGTCGGCCACTCCTCACACTGCTGCAGACTCGGGGAAGGGGACCCCCAGCAGAAGTGCAGAGCATCAGACGATATTGCAAGCAGTACCCGAGGATAAAGGGATTGCCTGCACTAATTGTTAAAAGCCTGGGCGAAGGTTGTATCTGTGAAGGAGATGGTGTGTCGGTCGCTCCTCCACACTGCAATACATCAGGATGTAACTGAGTCAGTACTAGGAAATTACAATTTAAGTTCATGACTGTGAGGCATGTGTGTGTTTGTCATTGCGTCTGGCATTGAGAATCACTGTATGAGTGTGTGTCTGTCTACCAGTTTGTATCTGGGTATTACTGTGTATCCACGTGAATGTGTCTGTAAATACAGTTGTGCTCAAAAGTTTGCATACCCTCGGAGATTGGTAATACATGTACCATTTTTTTATTTTTTTATTTTTTTTTTATAAAAGAAAGATTTATTTATAGTACTTAACCTGAATATACAAAGTAGTGTTTGAGCATCAACTAATGAGGTATAGTTTGTATAACCTAGTCATAAAATGGTATGGAGACTAACCCTCAATGCCTCAAAATTTCAGCAGAATAACACACTTTGACAGCACATTAGAGATAGAGAAATTTACACATTGAACCTTGCAATTTTCAAACTTTGCCTGCACCACAACTATATTCTCAACAGCAACAAATTTGAATCCAAAGATCTATACAGAATGCCCCAGGTAAGGTTATTCCCTGGCTAAATAAGACCCACATCTTTGGCCTTCATTGCATATGAACTTTCCTATCCTAACACCATTATATTACAGGAAGGTAGCTTTACTTTAGAATACACACGGCTGCACTAGCATGAGTGCCCTGTGTTTCAAAGATGTACAAAAGCAAAGCTAAACCGCCATAAAACAAAAGTTAAGATCTTTTATTGTAGCAGTCAAACCAGTACAAACAAGCACCAATAAATAACATTTTACAAAAAAACCTTAGCTATCTTGTTGTGATGTTACAGGTCTCTAGTGCATGTGGGTTTTACATTATATAAAAAGTCGTTCTGTAAAATGTACAGATATAAAGCACATTCTCTACAATTTAAAGTCAACCATGTCACTTAAGCTATAAAATGTCTGGAAAGGGATTTAGGCAGATTCTTTAACTTCTGTGGATTCTCCATTTTCTGTTTTTTGCTTTTTAGTTTCCGTTTTTGTTTCAGATTCCTCCTCATCCTCTACTGGGCGCTTTACAGGATGGTCATCTTTTTCAGTCTTTTCTGCTTTACCTTTCTCCTCCTCCTCTTCTTCTTCATCATCTTCACCCTCTACTTCATCCTCCTCTTCAGGGTCTTCTGTGTTTTCTTCACTGTGGTCTGCACCATTTTCCTCTGTTCCATTAGATGGAGCATCTCCTTTTCCATTCTCAGCCTTCTCTGCTTTCTCTACTTTCTCTTCTACAACTTCTTTCTTTTCCTTAAGATCCTTGGCAACGGGGACCTCAGTGCTGGTGGTGTCAACGACATCTGCCATCTTCGTGAGAGAAAGAGAGGGTTCCTAGAGCTGGAGAATGGAATAAAGGGGCTTCCCGTCTGAAGGGGAGAGAGAATAATACACAGGAGGATGGAGGAGGCAGACAGACGGTGTGGAGAGGAATCACATGTACCATTTTTAAAGAAAACACGAGTGAGCAGGCAAAACACATTTCTTTTATTTTTCTAAGAGATTCATATTTAACTGTAGGTTGTAACAGAATGGAACAATCATAATACAAAAAATGACAACAAAGGAAAAATTGAAATGACCTCTGTTTAAAAGACTGCATACCCTTAGTTCTTAATACTGTGTATTTACCCCTCTAGCATCAATGACAGCATGCAGGCTTTTGTGATAGTTGTCTATTAGGCTCCTAATTCTTGCAGGTAGTATAGCTGCCCATATGTCTTGGCAAAAATGCCTCCAGCTCTGGTAGCTGGTGCACGCGCTGAAGGGGGCAGAACCAACCTGTTATGACAGGCAAGGACTGAGGGCGTCCTACCTGTTGCACGGATCATGGGTTTGGACCACCTAAGGTGCTTTGCCTTCCCCTTTGTGTAATGGTGAACCCCGAGCTCTATTGTATAATCGCTCTACAATACCCTCCTTAACCAGATAATGAATCCTAATTCTATTGTTAGGGACCTACACCGGTTATGCCACACTGTTCAACGAAGAAACGGTTCTATTCCGATCAATGGGGAATTATGCGTCCCGATGTCTACCTGATTTGAAACACCATACTATACTAAGCAAAGTATCCTGATCCGGTCACTGGGGATCTGCGTGTCCCAATGTAAAAGTGCATTGCATTACCATATTTGATTGTATGAAGTTTCGTATTCTGGTGAATGGGGACCTGCTAGTCCCAATGTATAAGCACTGTGATACACCTTCTTAGACTCAACAAAGTAATCTCTTCCTGTCGATAGGGACCTGCGTATCCCAAGGTTTACATGCTTACAGAAATACCAATAAAAATATATTTACAAAAAACAAAAAGTGTAGATGCTGCTGAGTTGTTAGGTAGGTTAATAAGTATGTTGAAGTCACGATTATGAGGGAAGGAATGTCAGAGAAGAGAAAGAGGAAGCCAAGCAGAACATTGGTCGAAGAAGAGTAAAGGAGAGCCAGGAGGGCGATAAATAACAGCAACACGGGCTGAGAGAGGACTACAGAGCTGGAAGGAGTGGACTACAAAAGATGGAAAGGAAGGAGAAGAACAAGGGGGCAAAGGTTGGGGGGAGCAAATAGTGTGTTGTTACCAGACTCTTTTTTTGCAAGAGACTGATGCTGTTAAAGAGAAGAGATTAAAAGTTGAAATACAATTAGTAAAAAGAGAATACAGCACATATAGGTGGGGTGATAAATAGATGGCGTATCCCAGGTGTACCTATATAGGCAATATAGTAAGAAATAAGTAAATAAAAAATGAACTACGCCTGCGAAGCTGAAAGACGCAGTCTCTAGATATAGACAGATTCATTAGAGACCAGGAAGAGGTTCCATCGATGAGGTGTCTCATTGATGGAACTTTTACTCCATAAACGTCTCTCCCACGTGGCATATGCGGTACATCCACCAGCTGTAGTTTGCAATTCACTCATCATATCTGATAGAAGAACCACTCAGTGAACTGATACAGCAATACTGGCAGAGTTATTGACTGAAGTGAGAATTGTTGGCAATACAAAATTCAATTTCAAAATTTGGGACAAAATAGCAAGTTTTTTGGGAAAAAATCTCCAAGTCACATCTGTGTTCACTTTTTTTTCCCCAACATTTAATTCACTTTGAACTCCTGGTAATTTCTCATTTTAGTGAATAATCCTGTTAAACTGCCATTAATTTTTGCACATTGTAAATGAAGTCGTTAGATTAGTTAGATTTACAGCCTTCCCCACTTCTAGTGATCTGGTGCTGAGTGCCTGTTTTCTGTGTTGCTAGGATTAGTACCTAAGTGCTGTCTTTCAGTCCTGCCTTTTGCAAACCCTGGTAGAATTTTTAGACGTCCTCTTGTTCTGACTCCTCGATCTGTTGTTGTCTCAGGCATTTCCTTAGCAGTTCATCTTTGGGATCCTCCATTCATGATACTTGCTTACAAATCTATACACAATGCTGCTCCTACCTACCTATCCTCACTAATACACAAATATGTCCTATTTACGCCACTATGCTCTGCCAGAGACCTACATCCAACCTCTGTCCGTACTCCTACCTCTGATGCTCACCCTAAAGACTTCTCTAGGGCTGCACCGTTCCTATCAAATGCTCTTCTCCTCTCTGCTGGACTCTCACCCAATCTCCACTCCTTCAAAAAAAATGTTGAAGCACTGTATGCATTGTACAGCACTACAGAATTTGTTGGCGCTTTATAAATAATAATAATTCACTGTCAGTAGTTTCCGGGTCTTGACAACCATGTTGACCAGTTCTTCTCTTGGCCAAGTTATTGTACTAGCAGAGTACCTGAAGACTGGTAGGGCATATGTTTTGATGGCTTGGATCTTATTCTTGCCATTGAACTGGGACTTCAGGATCTGTCTGACTCTCTGGAGGTATTTGGATGCTGCAATCCTCCTCACCTCTTCCTCATGGTTGCCATGTGTTTGTGGAACCCCCAGGTACTTGTAGCTGTTCTCTACAGCTCCATTTTGACTTCTGGTACTTGAACCTCTTCCCTCTTTCTGCTATTATCCACCCACACGTATCTCGTCCAAACAACATTCTGACGTCCTTGCTGTATATCCTAGCAAGGTGGAGCAGTGAGTCAATGTCTAGCTCATTTTTGGCTTATATCAGGAACAAAGATTTAAGATGTGCATTGTGCCTGTAATCTTTGTATGAAATAAATTAAATGTGGTGCAAAACTCACTGTTAGCTTAAAACCGCCCCAATCACAATAACCACAGCTCACTGTAGGGGTTATAGTTAGAGGAGAGACCTAGAGTGCCTTCCCATTGCAAGTAGCCAAACAGTTTTTTTTTTTTAATATGGGGTCCTCTGTGCACCGCTCCCTTCCTTCACTACCAATGCTATAGAGGCAGGAGACAACTAAGTAATACATTCGGTTATCCCTCCGGAGCTGAGCCATGCATCGGAGAGCTAAGCTAATTGGCTGAGAGCGATGTGAATCTGCTTGTTCAAATTGCTGACATTGTCTTCGTTACCTGGATGATAAACAGAACAAGTTGACTGAAAACATTACATTTGTCACTGACTTTTTTAATATTCAATCTTAAAGATTCACTGATGCTGAAGGCAGAATCTCCAACCTTGAGGATAGCTATAACACTATTCAGTTGGCAAGAAAACACTTACTTTTTCACTAGATAATAGGAAATGGCTCCAGAAGGAGCAAGGAGTCTAATTTGGCTATCTAAATTTGTAAAAGGCAGTGCTATACCTCCCTTGGCTATCGATTGTTCCCTTGTAGATTTGGTATCACAGACGGGACAATAGCACAAAGTCACTACAACAAGGCAGATTCCAATTTTATGATTTTTGTGTAAAGTCCACATGCAGGACACCTGTTTTTAAATGACCAAGCCTTAAAGCACACCTTTCACCTGTATGCATTCTGCACTGTCTGCAAGTACATAGAATATTGCCTTTCAAATTACCCCCCTCCCTAACAATTATAGATTGTAATGATCCTTGTCAAGTAACCCCTTTACATCCCAGAGTAGTGTCATACTGCCCTCAATTACCCACTTGCTTCCAAACTCAGAAAATGCACTGTTTACATTTCTGAGGCTGCAGGGATAGTCTATTTGTGCCAAAACCACTACATTAAAGGACCACGGTAGTAACCAAAACAACTTTAGCTTACTAAAGCAGTTTTGTTGTATAGATCGTGCCTCTAAAGTATTACTGCTCAAGTCTCTGCCATCTACGAGTAAAATACTTTTGTTTTATTAATTTTTTTACTGATTTTTATCACATCATCATACACTTATTTCTAAGACTAAGTGACTAACATTCACTAACAGGCACCCTCTTACTAACGTAACAGCTAACCGTTACTTGAGCTAGACTATAATTTTCCACATATGATCACGTTATGCGTTGATTCTCTTGTATTACTTAAAAAAAATTTTTTTTAAATGACTGGTAACTCTGGCGACTGTTTTAAAGGGACACTCCAGTGCCAGGAAAACAAACCGTTTTCCTGACACTGCAGGTACCCTCTCCCTCCCACCCCCCATCCCATGTTGCTGAGGGGGTGAAAACTTACCTGAGACCCCCGGCGGTGGTTTAGGGTCCGCCCACGCTCCTCCCCGTCATCCGGCGGGGGAGACCGATCGTGCATGTGCGGCCGCCGGCGGGGGAGACCTAATGCGCATGCGTGGCAATGCCACGCGCATTAGACCTCTCCATAGGAAAGCATTGAAAATGCTTTTAATGATTTCCTATGGGGAATTGAGCGATACTGGAGGTCCTCACACAGCGTGAGGACGTCCAGCGACGCTCTAGCGTAGAAAACCTGTGCTAGAAACCAGGAAGTGCCCTCTAGTGGCTGTCTAGTAGACAGCCACTAGAGGAGGAATTAACCCTCCAATGTTATTATTGCAGTTTATGAAAACTGCAATATTTACAGCTGCAGGGTTAAGGGTAGTGGGAGTTGGCACCCAAACCACTCCAATGGGCAGAAGTGGTCTGGGTGCCTGGAGTGTCCCTTTAACAGCATAGTATTTTATGTGCTTAGGTATATGACGATCGTTCACTATTACAGTCTGTCATGTATTCTGTCCATTCAATAAAAACTTGATTGAGAAAAAGATAAAAAAATCAGAATTCATAGCAGACTTTTTGCTACGTACTAGAAGTGACAGTTCCGCTTTAGGTTTCTGTAACAGCTATGGATCTACCATAGAACACATCAGAGAAAACGTGATTTAAAGGAACACTCCAACAGATATAAAGGAACACCACTGCCTAAATAGGAAAAAAAACACTGTTTAGTAGCAATACTCTCAATTAATACATGCGTGACTTTTTCATGCATGTATTCATTGGCAGTATATCTTAGAAGAGCTTGCGAATGCTGCAGTTCCTATGAAGAGACTTTCAGTATCTTCATGGGGAAATAATCAGAGGCTTCTCATTGAGAAGCTTCTGAATTGGTACTCACGCACATGTATGCCTGATTGTGCAGGCTCGCTTGTCGTTGCATGTGTGTGCATTGCCTTTTGTGCGCACATGTCTGGTTCGAGATCTGTGTGGCAGGAGGAGGCAGGCACACTCAAGTAGAGCTTGCCTGCCACTTCTCTTAGCTCAGGGAAGCTAACATACACTGAACAAAATTATGAACGCAACACTTTTGTTTTTGCCCCCATTTTCCATGAACTGAACTCAAGGATCTAAGACTTTTTCTATGTACACAAAAGGCCTATTTCTCTCTAATAGTTTTCATAAATCTGTCTAAATCTGTGTTAGTGAGCACTTCTCTTTGCTGAGATAATCCATCTACCTCACAGGTGTGGCATATCAAGATGCTGATTAGACAGCATGATTATTGCACAGGTGTGCCTTAGGCTGGCCACAATTAAAGGCCACTCTAAAATGTGCAGTTTTATCACAAAGCACAACAGGGCCGCCACCAGAAATTTTGGGGCCCCTAACTGAGCACAGAGTCTGGGCCCCTGGGGGCCCGCCTCCAAGACCACCCACAGGGACCGCCTCCAAATCTCGCCCACAGAAATACACACACAGACACAAACACATTCACTGATACAAAAGGACACAGATACACGCACACACACACATACATACATACTAACAGACACACATACTGATACGCATACATACTGACACACACACATACTGAGACATACACACATATACAGACACAGGCGTACATAGTGACAGACAGACACATACTAACATACATACACACATTCATAATAACCTGCATACATACAGACATACATACATACATACACACAAACACACAGCTCATTTTCCAGCCACCCTCCTGTTTCTTACCTTTTCTTGCAGGAGGGTGGCTGGGGATGATGGGAGTCGGCGCGGCTCTCCCTCTTCACTGCCGGGCTGTCTCTCCTCCCGCGCAGAGTGAGCTGGGAGGAAGTGACTACTTCTTCCCAGCAGCACTTGCTGCGGCTGCTTTTTTTTTTTTTTTTTTTTAAAGGGGCCCGGTCACGCTATACCACGGCCACAGCGCTGACCGGGCCCCTGAAGATATAGGGCCCATCTGGTGGCCCTAAGTGTGTGGGCCACCCGATAAGCCCCATCAGCGTGCGGGCCCCGGTGCACGTTATGGTTGTCACCCCCTGATGGCGGCCCTGCATGTCGCAAGTTTTAAAGCTGAGCGTGCAATTGGCATGCTGACTGCAGGAACCAGAGCTGTTGCCCGTGAATTGAATGTTCATTTCTCTACTATATATATATGGGAGAAGGACTGTATAATCTCTATATGTGGTTGTAATATTGTTTTAGAGAGAGAAGCTCATACATTTGTTTAACTCTAGACGTTGCTCCATGCCCTCTGCCAGATTGCTTCCCTTCTGATTATGCCCATATTTCTGGCTTCTCATAGCCTCCTCCTTCTCCCCAGGGACGTATTAGCCGCGAGGCAAACAAGGCATTTGCCTTGGGCGGCATTTTTCAGGGGGCGGCAAAAAAAGCTGCCCCCAAATGCCCAGGGTAAATGTCTTGTTAGCCTTGCGGCTAACTAACATGCTGGGCTGGGCGGGCGGTTGGCGAGGGAGCTCTTCCTCTGAGCGGTAATATCATATTCCGGCTCCCAGCCTCACTCTGCGGCGTGCGAGGAAGCTGAGCAGACCGCAGAGCGACTGACCCGTGCGTGCTGCAGCTGAAACTCCACTTTTGCCTGCTGCTGCTCGCACAGTCTCATGAGGTGATGAGCGGGAATGCCGAAGTTGCGCTGCAGCGACCAGCGCCTCTTCCTCCAAACTGCACACGTCACTCGCATGACCTTGATTCCATGTGGAGTCTAGGACCTCATCATCCTCCACATCATCTTCCACCCACTCCTCAACCCTGCCCTCCTTGCCGGTATGCACACTGCAGAAAGCCACAGCAGTTGGCACCTGTGTTTTTCCAGCATGTAAACTCTGCAAACGGACATATGGGAATTGTTTTAGAATTGTATCCAGGCAACAGTTTTCCCTATAAACTGACCTCTCAGTTTGACTTGTGATGGTATTGCCCCCGAATTACAATATTGTTATATTGGTATTGGACGGTTCTAATTGACTGTCAGATATGAAGTGCAGGCCGCAAAGGTACTATTTAGCACCCAAAAAAAATTTTAATTGGTCAAACTGCACTGTAACCACAGTATTTGATAGTTCTATTTGACTCTCAGATATGAAGTGCAGGCACCAAATTGACTTTTTAGCACCTAAAGAATTAGAATTTTTACAACTGCAATGTAAGCACAATATTTGACAGTTCTATTTGACTCTCAGATATGAAGTGCACCGCAGGCCGCAAATGTACTATTTAGCAACCAAAAAATTTGAATGTTTAAAACTGCTATGTCACAGCACTATATGACGGTTCTATTTGACTCTCCGATATGAAGAGCACGCCCCAGATTTACTATTTAGCAGATTAGCACCCAGAAAATAAGAATGTTTACAATTGCGCTGTAAGCACACTATTTGACGCTTCTATTTGACTCTCAGATATGAAGAGCACGCCTCAAATTTACTATTTAGCAGTTTAGCACCAAAACAATTCGAATTTTTACAACTGCGCTGTAACCACAGTATTTGAAGCTTCTATTTGACTCTCAGATATGAAGTGCACACCCCTAATGTACTAGTTTGCAGAATTCTTTCCTAAGCTGTCCCTCACAGCTGCAGCATCCTCTCCCTACACTAATAAGAGCTCATGTGACGTGCGGCGCTACGTGACTCCAGCTTATATATAGAGGCTGGGTCACATGCTGCACTGGCCAATCACAGCCATGCCATTAGTAGGCATGGCTGTGATGGCTTCTAAGGGCACATGAGTCAAACGCTTGTTGATTGGCTGCCCTGCAGCCTTTCAAAACGCGCCATTAAATCGCCGAACACCGAACTCCAACTCGAACATACAGTGATATGTCCATGTTCGGGTCCGGGGTCCAAAAACGTAATGTTCGGTACGAACCCGAACTTTACAGTCTGGGTTCGCTCAACTCTAATCACCATCATCATCAGTTCAATTCTCAGTTAACTTTAATGTGCCCTAATCATGAGAAACCCTGTTGATCATATATCTAAGTCAATATGAATTGTATCCAACTTGCGGAGTATGTCCACAACTGCCAAACATGCAGAGCTCTCACGTCTAATATCAATATCTCCATCCCAAAGATTGCCCCATTGCCCCAGGTTTGCAAAAAATGCAAAGATGCTTTTTTTTTTTTTTTTAAATAGTTTAATATTTTTACTTTACAATTATAAACTTGATATATTTTTGAGAAAAAAAAATATATTCCTTAGTTTATATAATCTCTAGGAAAATGGTGTGAAAATGACCCTGCATAGGAAGAAAAGCATTCCTAGTATGTGAAAAAGGAGAAATTTGATGGTATAATGAATTTGCCAACCCTATATACCCCAAGATGCAGATTCTGACAAAATGTAACTTTCGTGCCAGTTTATCACGCAGGCAATATTACACAAAAACAAAGCTTGTGAATTGTGCGGATTTGTGTATGTGAGCACATTGTGCATGAATGGACGTCATTTTGCGAGCAGAGACATTGTATTACCTCTTCCTTGTGGGTGGCACCCATATGATCCACCTTTATTTGCAAACCATGGAAATGGCCAACTCCATTAAAAAAAAGTTAAGTTATCCTACACTAAATAATCTGGTTAACCATTCATTTATTTAAAGTCTGGCTTTGACAAACTTCGCTTGGCTCATCTGCTTTTTAGGTTAGAAGTATAATATTTTAGTAGATAAATATGTAAACTGTCTTGCTCATGTGCAGAAAACTATATTACAGTATGTCATTCTATATATATATACATATACACAAATATCTTCTCTTTACAGCTCATCGGTTCATATCACGATCTGACCTGGGAACAAACAAGTAAAATGAGGTTAAAACACAGGTATTTGCACATTATAGTACATGTAGCCACTTGCTGGAAACGGAATGTTCAATTTATAGAGTTTGCTAAAAAAAAAAAAAATCTGATTTATGGGAAAGTAAGAAGATGATTTATGAAGATTTATTTCCCTTCTGACAATACACGTTGTAACGTTAAACTTATTTTTTTAATTATTTTTTTTGCATAAGTATAGCTAAATAGAAATGTTTTTACAGCAGATAGGAATTCTCTAATTTTCAATCATTCGTGGTGATTTTCAAATAGTTGCATGCTTGTCACTTACTTTTTAATGCAATCTGGTATATGGACATCCTCTAGTGATACAATCTGGGACAGATCGTTCAAGCTGCGGACAAATTTCACTTTTCTTACAAACTTGGAGCTGCAAAAAAAAAATAAAAAAATCTTTAAATGTAATTGTAACTAAAAGCAAATAACTGGTGAAAACAATAGTTATTTCATGTGATTTGCAAATCCATTTAAAAAAGGACATTGAAGGCACAGAGACCATTTTTATCTCAAATAAGTGATTTTGGTGTAGTGGCCTGTAGTTTTATCCGTGGAGTGTAAAATAGAAACATAGAAACATAGAATGTGACGGCAGATAAGAACCATTCGGTCCATCTAGTCTGCCCAATTTTCTAAATACTTTCATTAGTCCCTAGCCTTATCTTATAGTTAGGATAGCCTTATGCCTATCCCACGCATGCTTAAACTCCTTTACTGTGTTAACCTCTACCACTTCAGCTGGAAGGCTATTCCATGCATCCACTACCCTCTCAGTAAAGTAATACTTCCTGATATTACTTTTAAACCTTTGCCCCTCTAATTTAAGACTATGTCCTCTTGTTGTGATAGTTTTTCTTCTTTTAAATATAGTCTCCTCATTTACTGTGTTGATTCCCTTTATATATTTAAATGTTTCTATCATATCCCCCCTGTCTCGTCTTTCCTCCAAGCTATACATGTTAAGATCCTTTAACCTTTCCTGGTAAGTTTTATCCCGCAATCCATGAACCAGTTTAGTAAATATTGCAGTTTAGTAGATATGGCAATGCTTACAGGGTTAAATATGTCCCCAGTGGCGATTCCGCTGTGAGAACCCAATCAAAGTTCTCACAGCTAACCTGCATTTGATTGGAGGAGCACAGGACACACATGCACTATTCGTCCTCAATGCTCCTCAATGAGCTGATTTGGATTGGATGAGAAGAAAGTGGTCAGGACATCATGGGAGGGAAATCGAGGAGCTTTTTCCTCCAAACTAAATTCAGAGGAGAACACTTTAGCATTAGGAATACTAGTTCATTGTTTTCCATAATGCTTTCGTGTTCCTTTAATTACAGCCTAATTAATAGCGGACCATTGAATTAGTTTCTAGGGTAGACAGATTTCCAGTACACAATACACAAACCATGTGAAATCTCTCGAATGACTGATCCTTAGCAATTTTTAGTATGGAAGTCTTTTTCAAAGTAACACTCTACACTCCATGACCATTTTAACTCGTTATTGAGTATCTGGGGGCAATTTTACCCTTTTCTGTCAAACTGCTTTCAAACAAACTGGCAAAAATAAAAAGTAAAGTCTCTCTCAATCCCAAATTCCACCTTCTCTGCAGCTTCTTAGTTACTGGAGTAGATTAACACAAAAATAAAATACACCTGTCACGGTTCTACATCAATATGTTCGACAGCTTTACCTGATAAATGGTCGAATGATGGCGAGCAGAGCTTTCACATACCACGTGGGATGGACAATCAAAACAGATTTCAGATTTTTCTTCAGCCTTAAAAACACAATAAATACGGATCAGTCAAATAATTGAGGACTTTTCACCATAAACAGATGGCTGTATAAATGTTTGCACATGTTTATCGTGAAGGGAGAGAAATGCAGAATTCACCCCCTTTGCTTTTTAGATAAACCAGTTGGTGAAGTTGTACCACGCTGCGGAATATGTGGGAGTTTTAAAAATAACGTCTGCCACAGTGAAGAAAATCTATATTTTCAGACATTGTCCTGTTGACAGATTAATTTATAGAATAGAACAACATTAGAAAGGAAACAACTGATTTTTCCTCAGGTCCAATCACTCACCAAATCCTGCCCCTTCGATCTCAAAAACATAGCGCCTCTGCACCTATTAAACACCGGATGCAGCTAAGGTTCTGGTCCATGCCACCATCATCTCTCGCCTTGACTTCTGCAATCCTTTTCCTCAGTGATCTTACGTGTTTCCAGCTTGCCCAGTTACGTTCTATAAGAAATGCAGTGGCGAGGCTAGTCTTCCTTTCCGCCTGCACCTCCTATGTCTGCCCCCTCTGTCAGTCCTTACACTGGCCTCCCGTAAGATTTAGGGAACAATTTTAAATGATGGTGCTTGCTTAGAAATCTCTACAGAACGTTACTCCTACCTACCTATCCTCACTAATAGACAAGTATGTCCCGTCCAGCGTGATACAGTATGCTGAAGATCTACGTTTATCCTCTGTTCCTACTCGCACTTTGGACACCCACCTTCAAGACTTCTCTAGGCAGGGCCGGTGCAAAGAATTTTGGGTACATAGGCGAAGATGCATTTTTCCGCCCCCCCAAAAACATCTTCACCCATGTGCCTCTTAACCTCCCTTTTGTGTTTCTTATCCCGTCTTTTAAATATCTGACTCCCTTTAGTGTATTTTATCTCCTATTTTTTCCTTTGTGTGTCTCCTATCTCTCCTCTTTGTATGACTCTTACATCCTCCCACATTTTGTGTCTTACTCCTCCCAGCCCCTTTGTGTGACTCCTTTTCTCCCAGCCTATTTGTGTCTTTTATTCTTCCCAGCTCCTTTGTGTGTGTCTCTTTCCTTCTCAAGCCCCGCTGTGTGTTTCTTTCACATCCGGCCCCTCTCCCCGTCCCTTAATGGTCCCCTCCCTTCTCTGACCCTTACTGTTCCTTTCCCTTCCCGCCTCCTTTCCCTGTCCCTTAGTGTTCCTCTCCCCTCCCCCATCTGTTGGCTGTCGCTTAGTATTCCTCTCCCCCCCTCCCTCCTTTTCCTGTACCTTAGGGTATCTCTCCCCTCCTCTCCCTGTCCCTTGGTGCGCCACCCACCCCCATAGTGGTCCCCTCCCATTCCTGGTGTGCCTCCTACCTTTTTTTGTAGCGTGGCTGAGCGGAGCGAATCCCGGTACAGTGAGCTTTTCCTGTAAGTTCTGCCAGAAACAGGAAACAGAAGTTCCTGTACCACGGTACACTCCGCTTGGCCACGCTACAGTCAGGGGTGTATAAACACTGACAGTCACACACACTCAATGACAAACATACAGACATCTCTGACAGCCAGACTCACTTATCTGACACACTCATTCATTGACAGACACTCACACGCACACTGACAGACTCATTAAAAAACACACACTGACACACACACACACACAAACTCACAGACACTGACAGACACACGTACTCACATGCGCACATGCACATACTGACAGACACACATACTCACACACACACACTGACAGAACCACACACACACTGACAGAACCACACAGACACACACACATACTCACATGCACACACACACTGACAGACACACATACTCACACACACACACACTGACAGACATACTCACATGCACACACACACACTGACAGACACACATACTCACACACACACTGACAGACACACATACTCACACACACACTGACAGACATACTCACATGCACACACACACACTGACAGACACACATACTCACACACACACTGACAGACACACATACTCACACACACACTGACAGACACACATACTCACACACACACAGACAGACACACACACACACACACACACACACACACACACACACACACACACACACACACACACACACACTCACACACACACACACACTGACAGACACACTCACTCACACACACACTGACAGACATACTCACTCACACACACACACACAAACTCACATAGTCACACACACACTGACAGACTCACATACTCACATGCACACACACACACACACAGAAATTAAAAATCTTAATTAAATTTAAATTTCCCACCCAGCCTCCCTACCTGGAGAGCTGGCGTGGGTCTCTCATTGGTGGTCCAGTGGGGCTGCTGGGAGGCGTGCGGCTGAATTGGATTCCTAGGTGGCGAGGGAGCTCTGATCTCTCTGATCTGCTCCCTCTCAGGCTGTTTACTGATGCCGCGGGAGCCGGAATATGACGTCATCAGTCAGCAGCCTGCGAGGGAGCAGATCAGAGAGATCAGAGCTCCCTCGCCACCTCGGCATCCAATTCATCCGCACACCGCGCCGGGGATCCAGGAGGTGACCTGGCAGGAGGGAGCACTTCCCTCCTGCCGGTCACTGGAATTTTGCGCCCCCAGAGCCGGTGCGCCCTAAGGCGGCCGCCTGTGCCGCCTTATGGTCGCGCCGGCCCTGTCTCTAGGGCATCGCCATTCCTATGGAACTCCCTTAACTTCTCTGTTAGACTCTCACCCAGTCTAAGTTCCTTCATTAAAAACTAGAAAACATCTTTATGAAAACATATCAATTAAACGGTTAATAGCTTTCTCTCCCCACACCCTGATAACCCACCCTGCAACTGTGTAATCAAAAAAACATCCTAAAACTATTCTAGTAACCTACTTTTTCCGTACAAGAAATACATCCTACCTCTACTTATTGCGCCACTTTACCCCACTCCCTCTAAAATGTAAGCTCGTTTGAGCAGTGTTCTAAGCAGCCTCTGTTTCTGTGCTTCCAACCGTCTTGTTGCAAATACTTGTCTGTCAGTCTACCTATTGTACTACGTAGCAGAATTTGTTGGCGCTTTATTAATAATAATTACAGGAAATGAAGGGAAAATTGGTGGCAATATAGGAGTTATTTATATTATGACACATCAATGTGTTTTGCAATAAAGTGTAGAGGTTTGTTTAATCCCCAAAGTGAGAATTGTTGGGGAAAGTTAATTTCAGGAGGGGGCAAAGGGCAGGAAGACAGGTACCATAATCAGAACTTTGAGGTTGAAGTGATTAAAAATGTTTTAACCCCCTTAATGTAAGATGGTGATATGCTATGGTGTGCAGAGTGGTTCTTTAAGTATTAAAATTACACTGATCAGACACAACATTAAAAACACCTGCCGAATATCGTGTAGGTCCCCCTCGTGTTGCCAAAACAACTCTGATGCATCAAGTCAAGCACTCAACAAGACCTCTGAACATGTCCTGTAGTATCTGGCACCAAGACATTAGCAGCAGATCCTTTAAGTCCTGCAAGTTGTGAGGTGGGACCTCCATGGATCGGATTTGTTGTTCCAGCATATCCCACAAATGCTCAATCGGATTGAGATCTGGAGAATTTAGAGACCAAGGCAACTCATTGAACTTGTCGTCATGTTCCTCAAACCATTCCTAAACATTTTTTTGCAGTGTTGCAGAGTGCATTATCCTGCTGAAAGTGGCCATTGCCATTAGAGATCACCATTCCCGTGAATGGCTGTAGATGGTATTTAACAATCTCTAGATATGTGGTAGGTGTCAGTAACATCCACAGGAATACCAGGATCTCAGGCTTCCCAGCAGAACATTATGCAGAAAATAACACTGCCTCCACCAGCCTGCCTTCTTCCCATAGTGCATCCTGCTGCCATCTCTTCCCCAGGTAAGGGATCTAAAATCCATCCACCTGATTTAAAATAAAATGTGATTCATCAAACCAGGCAACTTTCTTCCATTGCTCCATGTTTCAGCTCTGAGGCACTTACGGTGGTGGACAGGGGCCATCCTGGACACACTGACTGCTCTGCAGCTACGCAGCAAATTGCAATGCACTCTGCATTTTGACACCTTTTATCATGGCCAGCATTACATTTTTCAGTAATTTGAGCTGCAGTAGCTCTTCTATGTGAGCGGATAGCCTTCACTCCCCATGTGCATCAATAACCCCTTGGTGGCCCATGACCCCCGACGTCTGTTCACTGGTTATCCTTCCACGCACCACTTTTGGTAGGTACTACTACGAATCGACCAATATTGATTTTTAGAGCCAATACTGATAATCTGTGAACTTTTAGGCTGATAGCCGATGACTTACCGATACTCTGTACATTTACCGTTTTGAAAAAAGAAAATTTCTACCAAATCTACCATTTACTGAACATGTATATTTAATATTTGTTTTTAGCAAAAAAAAAAACAAACAAAAAAAATAATTTATATTAAGTGTTAAATGTACTAAATATACATGCCAGTCAGATTTGTTTGTTTTCAAGAATATTTAGTGTTCCTCTCGCTTCCCTCCCTGTCTCTTAGTGAACCTCTCCCTTTCATTTTCCTTTCCCCTCACCTTCACTCCCTGCCCCTTAGTAGTCCTCTCCCTCCCTGTCCTTTAGTGTGTGTGCCCCCGTCCCCCTCCCCCCTTTGTGGTCCTTTCCCCTCCTTGGTGTGCCTCATTCTCTCTCTTGTAGCATGGCCAAGCGCAGCGGACTGTGGTACAGGAGCTTCAGTTTCCTGTACCCGACTGGACTGACAGGCAGTGCTCTCTCAGTGAGCACTTCCGCTTAGCTCCTGTAGCGCAGTCTGCTCTTCTCACCCACGCCACACTGAGTGACTGGAAGGGGGAGCACTATGCACTTCCTTCCTGCCAGTCACTCGATTCTTGTGCCCCCAGAGCCTTATGGACATGCCGGCCCTGCATGCGCTGGGCCAACGCCGCCTCTCACTTTATTGGCAATGTCGGTGTCAATAGTGGCCAATACCCAGAATATGGTCGAACCAATTATCGGTCTATCCCTAGTACTAACTACTGCATACTAGGAACACTCCACAAGACATACAATTTTGGATTTGCTCTGACCCAGTTGTCTAACCACCACTATTTGGCCATTGTCAAACTCACTCAGATCTTTTCGCTTAACCATTCTTCCTGCTTCGAAAACATGAAATTCAAGAGCTGACTGTTCACTTGCTGCCCAATATAGCCCATCTCATGACAGGTGCCATTGTAACAATATAATTAATGTTACTCACTTCACCTGTCAGTGGTTTTAAAGTTGTGGATGATCAGTGTATATGTCTGAGACTATAAAGGAATATTTACCTTCTACCTGTTGCTTGATAACAACGCTTGATCCAACCAATCGTAGGAATTTTGCTGCGAGGTGTTTCACCATTTAGATAAATCAACATGTAGTCTTCTGCAATCATAAGATCCAGTGTTCCTATAATATATCTGCATGTAAAACAGATTAAATGAGAGAGAGCGAGAGTGTACGGGGAAAGACCGAATTTGAGAAAACAGGGAAACAAGGCATGGTAACGGGCAGACACACGGAGAGAAAAAAAATATTACAGAGAATGTAATGATGAAGAGTATGGATGTTATTCTTAGAGGGTCGAAAAGGAAGAAGGCTTGAAAATAAAATGGGCAAAAATTCAAAAAGTGGTGAGGATGTGAAATGGTATATTTGTGACTCTTATTTTATAGACTATAAATGGGCAAAATCAAAATGAGCCAGATAGAAGAGATAGTAGAAAAAAAAACAAATAAAGGCATATGGTTTGGGGATCAATTAAGATATAAATGGGTAGAATAGAGGAGATCTGACTTTTTTTTTTTTTTGTAATTACTAGGACAGTGGTTTAAGGACCGAAAGGGGGACAGGAAAGAAAAAAATATATATAATATAAGAAAGAAAACTGGAACTAGACCCGAGTCCTCTCAGCAAAGAGTCTCTTAATTTATAATGTTATAATGGGTGCATTTACCTGAATAGATTGTCCATGACATACTGGTAATCTGGAATACTGCTATCCGGTAAATAGCAAGAGGCAAACACAATGATTGCGTTTAAACCATCACCATAGTAACCTGGGAGAAGAGAAGATAGACAGACCTTTGTTAATAAAAGACAGTAACATATTTTCTGTTAAGATATTCCAATGTGGATATTGGAAAAGGAGTATCATATTTCCATGCTGGAGGGGAGAATCTAGTGTGTGGTAGAAAGACTCAGAACTTAAAGGAACACTATAGGGTCAGGAACACAGACATTTATTCCTGATCCTATAGTGTTAAAAACACCATCTAGCCCGCCCTCCCTAAATATAGCAAAATCTTACATTTATTCCAGTCTCCTGCTGCTGGCTCTGCCTGCTTGGCTGACATCATCAGAAGTGGTGTTCTGAGCCAATCACAATGCTTTCCCATATGAAAGCATTGGGCTGAGACTGTAAAGGAGGCAGACCAGGGGCAGAGCCAGCACAAGCCAAACACAGCCCTGGCCAATCTGCCTCTCCTCGTAGAGATACATTGAATCTCAATTAGAAAAGTTCAGCCATCTGAGGCTTGGCTAGTGGAGGTATCCCTAGGCTGTAATGTAAACACTGCATTTTATCTGCAAAAACAGTGTTTACTGCAAAAAGCCAGAAGGGAATGATTATACTCACCAGAACAAATACAAAAGGCTGTAGTTATTCTGGTGACTATAGCATCCATTTAATAGGAATAAAAGGTCTTCGATGAGAATCACAGAGGAATGCAGATATCAGAATAGGTGATAAAAGAAGTACATGATGGACAGCGGAAACACAGAAAGGGCAGAAAATGGTTGTCAATGAAAGCATAAAAGGGGGTATGTAAACAGAGTATTATTAATGGCCTCTCCGTTTCCCATAATCATTTGGCAGTTTCCCTCCTAAGAGCAGGCTCTGGATTGCCTGGTTACCTCCATGAGAGATCACTTGTTGATATGGTTCAATAGCAGTCATGTCTACTTTGTGTTCTCCAATCAGAAATATTCGCCATTTTCGGCCTGTCTTGTCTTCCAGGTCAGTAATAAGGCTTTCATTATAAGTTTTTTCCTCTTTTCCCATAGCCTTTGGCAGGTCATCTGATAGAAGTAGGAAAGACAAGGAAAGTGGTATCTTTCTAAATAGTGCCTGGGCCTGATTTCATAACTCTATCTGCATCTTTAATAAAAGTAAAACAAATCTTTACCTTCCCACTCAAATTCATGGCTGTTTTCGGTGAAGTCCAGCATTTCGCTGCTGTTTGGGGTTTCCAAGTCGTCAATATCAAAGTCAATATCATCTGTGCTTTGATCAAATATGTCACTGGACCTCATGGAGCCCTCACTGTTCTCCAAATTAAAGCTGAGTGAGGGAGCAGACAGTCGCCTTTTCATATGCCGATTGCCACACAGTTCCAGAGTATTGGGTGGACAAACTGGTGGACATAGAGACATAAACAGGGCTAATCACTAAAGTCGCCTTCAATTTGAAATGCACTTTGAATTCTCAATGTTTCTAAAAGTATCTGTACTGGAAAAATAGGAGACTTGGAGAATGTTTTCTCTGTCTTGGCTATTCTGTCTTTTAATTTGAAATTCACTTTAAATTCCTACAATTCTCACTTCAGTAAATAATCCTAAAAATATAGGCGAATCAGTATGGGGAGAGCTATTAGTGACTCGAGGTCGAGTAGTTTCCCATTTCCCGGCAGTGACAACGGAGTTTAGTATTGAACCTACGAAGCACCTTCTGTTCCATTATGGTGTGAAAGATAGAATTTCACCTTTTTTTTTTTAAAGCACTATATATAGTCCTCGTTAAAATTAAAGGAACACTATGGGGTCACGAACACAAGCATTTATTCCTGACCCTATAGTGTTAAAAACCACCATCTAGCCCTCCCCTCCCCCCCCCCACCCCCTCTTGCCTCCCTAAATATAGTAAAATCTTACTTGTATTCAAGTCTGTAGCTGTTGGCTCTGATCTGCCTGCTGACATCATCAGAAGTGGTGGTCTGCACCAATCACAAAGCTTCCCCATATAATTGGCTGAGACTGTCAGAGAGGCAAATCAGTGGCAGAGCCAGCACAAGTCAAACACAGCCCTGGCCAATCAGCATCTCCTCATAGAGATGAATTTAATCAATGCATCTCTATGGGGAAAGTTCAGTGTCTGCATGCAGAGGGAGGAGACACTGAATGTCAGTCAGTCTGTGCAGCACTGACCCAGGAAGCACCTCCAACAGCCATCTGAGGAGTGGCCAGTGAAGTTATCACTAGGCTATAATGTAAACACTGCATTTTCTCAGAAAAGACAGTGTTTACAGCAAAAAGCCTGAAGGGAATAATTCTACTCACCAGAACAAATACAATAAGCTGTAGTTGTTCTGGTGACTATAGCGTCCCTTTAAGTAATGGCAACAGCATTTGACTCTATTATTGGAAATAAAATACATTTCTAATTAATATAATAAAATCAAACAGTTTACAGAAGAAACATGCTCTTTTATGTTTCATTTTATAATGGTTCTCCTAGCACTCTCCCTCTGATAGAACCCGACCATATGTAGGTGGCAGATTTGCTCTAAGCTTTGTTCCTACCTGGTTCACGGTCTTCTTTGGAATCGCTATTCTCCTCTGGAAGAGGCCTACAAGATAATTCAGGGATAATTAGAGGATATATTTCACACACTATGTGATGCATACTTCCCCACAAGTAAAAATATTCAAAGAGAGACATTTTATTAGCTTTAGAGGGTGCAGTTGGTGGTGGAGCAGTATCAATCATTTTTACCTTTTACCTTTGTTACCGGTTGATAATTATTGACATGACAAGTAAGCGGGGAACGACAAGAGCAGAAAAATCTCATAGTATGAACATTCATCTAAATGTCTTTCACTCCAGTCTAGAGACACATTACTGGGTGTTTAATTACTGTGTATCCTCCGGGACACAGCACATATGTTTAACGCAACATAGAAAGTGACAACTGTTTCATACCTGCCAAGTGTCCCTATTTAGGAGGAAGAGTCCTTATTTTGTGCCTTTGTCCCTCTTTTTTAGTAGCTCCATAATGTTGGTTTGTCTGAGTGTATAACAGAGCTCCACAGCAATAATACTCCCAGTAATGTGTCTGAGTGTGTAACAGAGCTCCACAGCAATAATACTCCCAGTAATGTGTCTGAGTGTATAACAGAGCTCCACAGCAATAATACTCCCAGTATTGTGTCTGAGTGTATAACAGAGCTCCACAGCAATAATGCTCCCAGTAATGTGTCTGAGTGTATAACAGAGCTCCACAGCAATAATACTCCCAGTAATGTGTCTGAGTGTATAACAGAGCTCCACAGCAATAATACTCCCAGTAATGTGTCTGAGTGTATAACAGAGCTCCACAGCAATAATACTCCCAGTAATGTGTGTATTATAGAGCTCCACAGCAATAATACTCCCAGTAATGTGTCTGAGTGTATAACAGAGCTCCACAGCAATAATACTCCCAGTAATGTGTCTGAGTGTATAACAGAGCTCCACAGCAATAATACTCCCAGTAATGTGACTGAGTGTATAACAGAGCTCCACAGCAATAATACTCCCAGTAATATGACTGAGTGTATAACAGAGCCCCACAGCAATAATACTCCCAGTAATGTGTCTGAGTGTATAACAGAGCTCCACAGCAATAATACTCCCAGTAATGTGTCTGTGTGTATAACAGAGCTCCACAGCGATAATACTCCCCGTAATGTGTCTGAGTGTATAACAGAGCTCCACAGCAATAATACTCCCAGTAATGTGTCTGAGTGTATAACAGAGCTCCACAGCGATAATACTCCCCGTAATGTGTCTGAGTGTATAACAGAGCTCTACAGCAATAATACTCCCAGTAATGTGTCTGTGTGTATAACAGAGCTCCACAGCGATAATACTCCCAGTAATGTGTCTGAGTGTGTAACAGAGCTCCACATTAATAATACTCCCAGTAATGTGTCTGAAAGTATAACAGACCTCCGCAGCAATAATACTCCCAATAATGTGTCTGGGTGTATAACAGAGCCCCACAGCAATAATACTCCCAGTAATGTGTCTTTAAATTACAATAAATGTGTTTAGAAATCAGTCTGGGTAAATAAGATACATTGTTCTTGTTCTATATTCCATTTTAGCTTTATAAATTGTTATTAGTAAGTCACCTAAAATGTCTGGCCCCTGGCAACACTACAATCTACTACAACCTTTCTGCAGTGGGAGGGGTGTCCCAGAGCAGTGGTGTACACACGATCCCTGGGGCCCTGGTGATAGATAGATATATATTACACACACACACACACACACACTTTTAATTTAATCCCTCAGCCTCCCTACCTTTGTGAGTGCTGAGGGGATTCCCTGGGGTCTAGTGGGGCTGCCTGGCAGCCGGTCCTGCAGGCAGCGAGGGAGCACTGATCCTCCTATTCAGCTCCCTTGCGCGCCCGCAGTGACAGCCCACCATGTAACACACTGCCAGCCTCGGGGGGCCCTGAGATGGCCAGCTCCTTGGCCCCCCAGGAGAAGAGGCTGGCAAACCGGCGTACATAGACAGTCGCAGGGCGGCCCGGTCCCTGCGACCACGGTATGTACACCAGTGTCCCAGAGGCTGGGCTTAGGTGTGATTTAGCGTCACGGAGTGGATGGTGCCGCCATTGGCTGACTGTTGCCAGCATGCTGCTAATCATGCCACCGGAGGTGGATTTACAGTGCTGCTTTCCCTCTGTATGTGCAGCATTTATTAAAGAAATGAGACACTGCACATATAGACTCCAAACACCATGATCACTACAAATCAGTGAAGTAGTCATGGTGCTTAGAGTAACCATTTAATGTTCCTTATAATCTGCACATTATATTCCCAATCTTTCCATGTGACAGATACCGTATATAGAGCAATGGCCTCTCTCACTCACCTAGGAAACTCTTCATCCTGCCATTCTTCTTTCAGTTCCATGTCATCAATTCTCATCAGCGCTGCACCCACAAATGCTGGAGCCTGGGCCACAAGGTCTTTATCAAAGCTACAGGAGGACAATAGACACACACCATTACTACATCAGCTTCCACGTTTCTTGAATCCAGAACAAATGAATTTAATGAAGTATTTAGAGGAAGACTCTAAACACCATAAAACACTAGAGCACATTGCAGTGGTTTTGGTTCCAGGAGTGCCCTGGCACACCGCAATGATCATGGTCAAACCATCTAGAAATGGTTTGACTTCTTACCTGGGGGACCACTGCTGCGTGCTGCTCCACACTCCCTGTTTGTTGGAAAGAAACCTGGAAACTCCAGCTTAGGAGCCTCTGTTGCCTCTTCTGAGCTAAGGAGAGCCATGCAGGGCTAGATCACTGGATGAGAGTCCACCGGGATTAGCTCAATGAGAGCTTCCAGCAGAAAGGAGGTGTAGAGCCAAGTCCGCAGACCCAGAGAGGAAGTCAAACAATTCTAAAACAGTTTGGTTCTTTGTAAGGGGGAGGCACCAGGGTTCTCCTGACACGATAACCACCACACGGCCCAAAGTTAATGGTATATAAAGTCCCCATGCCATCACATTAAACAGTGCAACATGGTCACCAACAGCTCATCTACTAAACTAATTTCCAATAAAAAATAATAAATACAGTTTTTCTTTAAAAAGGGAACAGTCACCTCTCTGGCATTTACACAGTTGAATAAAACGTTGAAAGTCATTTATGACTTTTTTTTTTTCGGGAGACGCTCGATTTTCTTTTAAAGTTACATGAAAGATTTAGCAAATGACATCATGATCCAGTTCAGATAAGACAAACATTGCAAATGAAGAGGTGAAATAGAAACATGGTTTAATTTCTTCTCTTCTCGGCTTGCTCGCTCTATACGGACTACCAGGAGCAAAGGCCAGAGCTTATAACAATGATTGACAGGAAGCCATGACTGAGGCACCCACATGCAGGTATTAAATGTTTGTTTTCACATCTTAAAAATACATATTGTAAATATAGCTTAAGTAAACGCAATACTAAGAATCCTGGGAAAGAATACTCCAATCACATAACTACTACAGGCTGTTGTAGTGGTTATGGTTGCTGGAGTGCTTTGACACAATTCTGCGGTAAGATTGTAAAACCTTTTAGCACAGTTTGACAAGCTACTTGGGTCCTGTTTGGTTTTGACACTGCATCCAGTCTTGTCCAGGAGAAGAAGCCAATTTGCTCTGTAGAACAAAGCAGGACAATGAGAGACCATTCCTATTGGCTAAGAGCATCTGCTGAGTACACACAGCCAACGAACGCGGACCTGCATTGGGTGTGCTTTTCTATATAGAGACGTCACTCTTCTTCCGCTGGATAGGAACAAAAATAGCTGGACGTTGGTAAGTTGTCAATCCGTGGTAAAAAAATTGACGTCATACTGTGGAACCACTATAATGGGCTGTAGTGGTTATGGTGCTTGGAGTGCTCCTTTAACAAAGGCTGCTGAACGTCCACTCATGGAATCCATTGAATGGAATTATTTGCACACTATGTTTCATATACTTTAAAACTATTTATGATTAATGCATTACATAGGAAAATAAATTGGTCACTTCAGAGTATTATCACATTAAACTGGTGACGTTATACAGGTATCTGTAATAGAATAAGCTTGTAAGAGTATGTTGTCATCAATTTCCCTGTCAATTTTTAATAAAGTATTTATTTATCTGTAATCCAGCGCTGGACAAAGCTACCAGCGCGGCTTTCCACGCAGCCTTCTGATGTTACACCTGCTGTCATGCGGTCCAATAAAAGGCTCCTCCTAGAGAGGTTTTTGATAGGACCACTTATCTGGATCAGAGTGCATGCAGGCGACAAGGGGAGGTTGAGAGGGAGAGAAGAAGGGAGCCTAAAAATCGATTGAACAGGATAGGGAGGTGGAAGGGATGGAAGACAAGACTCCACTTACAGACTTTAATTAAGTCTGTCACCAGCGTGCAGACAACAGACAAAGTATGCACAGAATTGACATTAGGCAGTGTAGCCTAAGTTTGCCTACCCCTGGTATAGATCATTCATGCACCTGCAGTCTCACTGCTCAATTCTCTGCCATTTAGGAGTAAAATGTATTTAACTCCTAGTCACACCTCCTCCATGAAAGAATGTATTTTAGTTTCAATCAGATCTGAGAGCACAGTGTGTTTACTTTAGAAGTTTTTAATATCCTGTTCTGTGAATTTAAACTTTAAATCACACACAGGAGGCTCCTGCAGGTTCTATTAGGGTATTAAACAGACTTTTGGAAGTGTGACTAGGACTGTATAAACAACATGATTTACCTCCTAAATGGCAGAGACAGCTGTGCCATGATCTATACACCAAAACTGCTTTATTAAGTTAAATTTGTTTTGGTGCTGATAGTGTACCTTTAAGTATCAAAATGATCCCTTTTGCAATGTAATCTGTGTAATGACTAGGAGCATTCACCTCATTACGGTGCTCTGTCACGGTCATGTGCTATATTCAATCTATTATCTGTAGAATAAACTATTCAGTTTATTAAGTTCACAGAGATGCGGATAGACCCCATCTTGCGTTGCTATATCCACCATGTTTTTCTGGACATATATTTTTTTTGTGAATATATTTTTAGTACGTATTTTCAGTAAACCAAACAAACCACATGTAGGGACCAAAATCACAACTGAATACAGAGCAAGACATGTTGGCCTCTATTACCATCAGATATAAACTTGTGATGGGCTTAGAAATATATATATCAAAAAAAGGAACAACTCACAATCATAGCAAGGTAGCACCAAGATCTACTGTAATTCGGTTACGTTAAAATTAGGGGACGTACATCGTTTCTCCCTGTTGATGTTAGACAACGCTGCCCTGCAGTATTCGTTAGCATGCTATAGTGGTTATGGTGCTAATAGTGTCCTGGTGTATAAGTAGGCAAACCATTTTAGAATGGGGGGTCCCCCACGCACTGCTCCCCAATGGAAGCTCCTGCATCACTGAGCGGTGCTTACAGGTAAGTAGTCAGGTCATTCTAAAATAGTTTGGCAAGTTACAAATAGGCTGCCAGGGCACTCCTGGCACCATAACTACTACAACAAGATGTAGTGGTTACAGTGCTTGGAATGTTCCACTAATCATGTGATTCCTTACCTGCAAAATTTTTCTCCCAGTTATAAGACAGGACTTTTCACATGAGGTCCCAGTCTCTACATGGTACGTGTCCATAAAACCATAGTTGATGCGGCATCCCTGACCCTATTAGAACCTCTATCATTCTATATCTATATACTTCAGGGGTGCCCAAGAGGTAGATCCACAGATATTGTAGAACTGCATCCCCCATAATGATTTGAGTGTCTGTGTATGCCTTTAGAATAACAAGGCTACATGGAAGTTGTAATTCCACATCTGGGATCTACCTTTTGGACACCCCTGCTCTTCTTCGCTGTTCGGAGCTGTGAAACGGTCACTAGCTCAGCATTTTTCTTAGAGTCAAGTGCATGTCCTCACTCGCTCGGTCTATTGTACAGGGTAATCCTTGGGTGGGGAACTTTCAGGAACTGTTTAACTCTTAAACAAGATACACCTATTAACTTCAGATTTATGCCTTTAAATGACTTGTCCCCTTTTCAACAGTGAGACACACACAAAAATAATAATCTCATAATGAGGGGTCAACCTTCCTGCCATATGCATTGATTAGATACGGTGAATATTATAAATAACTCCGCCTCGCTCAGCGTTAAATACTCAGACAAATACCTATACAGAAACGCAATAGTAAACCTTATCAAAGAGACAGCACCATGGTAAATCGAAATGTTTGTAAACAAACATATTAGACGGATTACGCGATTATAAAATTAGATAGAGGCCTCAAAATCTACACATACAAACTGTGGTGATTGTGGTGATAGTCCTGTTTTATTTATTAAACAGTTTTAACTTTTTTAAATTTCCATCACTCAATCAATAAATTACAAGATATATATAAAATTTCAGCACCATTTTTGTGTGTGTGAAAGGCTTATAGTTTTACACTCCACCTTTAGCAACTAAATAATTAATTGACTCTTAAATTAAAAATTAACCTAATACGAATTGAATGCGGTTTTATTACCAAAGACAAAAATACAGTTTAAAATCTTAATAACGACTAATATTAACACCACAATAGATGGTGTGTGTTACCAAGTTAAAGCCGAACTAAAATTAGCGATGGATTTGGCTTTTTCTATTTAACCCCTTAAGGACACATGATGGAAATAGTCCGTCATGATTCCCTTTTATTCCCTACGGACACTCCCTATAAGTACCACATAAATTAAATTAAGGATAGCCTGAGAGTGCATGCGCTGATATAGGATTTCTGTAGAGATGATCAAAAAAGTGCCATGGTGATATTTAGATTTTATTATTTTTTTCTCTTACCTTCTTGGCGAGGAACCAAACAAAAACCAAAAAAAACCCTAACTTTTAGTGAAATATTTCCTCTTTAAGTGAACCGCTTTCATTGTCACGGCTTGCAAAGCTAGAGTAGTCAGACTCACCATGTTTCTATGAGTGTATATAGCTCTATCACTGCTGATTACTGGTATAGTATGTAGCATTCATATGCTGCATGAATGGAACGCCAACTCTCTTAGAAAGTTGTAAGATTCATCTTGATCAATCAGTGAAGTTCCCTCCTGCTGCAATTAAAATACCACAGGATGCAGGGTAGCACAATTCATGCTCTGCCCATCAGCAACGTGAAGTGATAACCGTTTGGGAACTGGTAACATTTTGTATAGCATTAAAACTAGGCCTGAGAATTACTTTTCCTTTTTATTTTCTAAACAGTGAAGATATACTCACATTATCCAGGGCTGTGGAGCACACTATGTGTCTGCAAGCAGGCAGGCAGGGACAGGAGTAAAGCCTCCATGTAATAGGTACAGACACCTCCTTAACCTGGCCTTTGTGCATCCTGCTGACATCACCTGTGTAGCCGGGAGGGCAGGTAGGGAACTCAAATTCAGACACTCCCTAATAACATGCTTCTTAGTAACAATGATCTATTACACTTCTTAACACAAATTACCTATAGCGACACTTTACATGGCATTTTATGGCAATATTAACTTGAATTGTATGTATTTAGGATGAGTGATACAGGTTAAAAGTGTATGAAATATTACTAATAGTTCCTAAATCTAGGTCTAAAAGATCTGATACCTTGATAGAAAATAAGCTAATCACATGTTCTGTTTTGGTTTTGTTTTTTTACCAATGTCTACTTCCTTTTAAGTAATTTAGCAACTTTCTGCCCCCCAAAAATCTGTGGCGGTCAATTACTTCCCCCCATGCAGTTGGAAATAGCATGTCACTTACCGGTTGACATTTGTATGTTTAAAATGTGTTTCTCGCATTCCCACCAACAATGGGGTGATCCGCTGTCATCTTTATTTCAAAGACTAAGTTACAAATATGTTCGGGTTTCCTATACAAGTCTAAATTCCACATGTTGTTGGAAAGTACAGGAATAGTTCTGCCTAGCGGTATCCTGCCTTCTGGATTAAATTGGGAGTGTTTGCCATGGATATAATGTATTTCATTGGTGATGCTAAATGAAGTGATTTATTAATATGCCTGCTCTAAAGGAATGCTTGCCTAAAAGCATTAAAGGAACATTATAGTCACCTAAATTACTTTAGCTAAATAAAGCAGTTTTAGTGTATAGATCATTTCCCTGCAATTTCACTAATCAATTCACTGTCATTTAGGAGTTAAATCAATTTGTTTCTGTTTATGCAGCCCTAGCCACACCTCCCCTGGCTATGACTGACACAGCCTGCATGAAAAAAAAAACTGGTTTCACTTTCAAACAGATGTAATTTACCTTAAATAATTGTATCTCAATCTCTAAATTGAACTTTAATCACATACAGGAGGCTCTTGCAGGGTCTAGCAAGCTATTAACATAGCAGGGGATAAGAAAAAATCTTAATTAAACAGAACTTGCAATAAAGAAAGCCTAAATAGGGCTCTCTTTACAGGAAGTGTTTATGGAAGGCTGTGCAAGTCACATGCAGGGAGGTGTGACTAGGGTTCATAAACAAAGGGATTTAACTCCTAAATGGCAGAGGGTTGAGCAGTGAGGCTGCAGGGGCATGTTCTATACACCAAAACTGCTTCATTAAGCTAAAGTTGTTCAGGTGACTATAGTGTCCCTTTAAACAGGCTGTCAGACAGCCTTAGGGCTGCCCACATCAAGTCCTGGGAGGAGGCGACAGCTTGGGACATGTCAAAAAAAAGGACATGGCAGCCTGGCGGAATGCATAGTACTGGCCGGTACCACTTAGGGCGGCATGTGTGTGGAGCGCCGTTAACATGCAGTGCCAGCCAATAGGCTTAAATCTGCGCAGTGCGAATTTGTCTAACAATGTGCTTGTGTTGTGTGGTGATTGATTTTCAGTTTTCCCAAATGCAGGACACCAGGGGTCAAATCCGGGATGGTGGGACAGGACCCTGAATTTGGAACATTCACTCTGAACTCGGAACTGTTGGGCGGTATGGTTTAATCCGCATGCTTGTGCAGCATGTCCTGGTCACTATGCTTTGCTGTCCCTTGAAATGGCACGCTACAGAAAAACCCGGATGGTGGGTTACATTCTGCCACATGTGATTATTTTTTTATTTTCTGTGTCATGTGAATGCCACTTACTGCTTGGGAGCAATTTTTACGGACCTCCCAACAGCATGTGGAACTTTCACTGGCTGAGAAAACATGTTCTTACAGCGCTGCATTGCATCGATGCAATGGAATCACTGCTGCCCTGGAAGATGCATTGTTTATGTGTCCGTTATCTTAAGGAATCGTGTTGTCACTGACAACAAAAAATAAAACGTCTCTTATAAATTACGAAATAAAAATTCCAGATTAAAATGTAAATTAAATATTTGAATAATACAAAGAAGCTGCCAGCCAGATGTATTGACTCTCCCATCTCTTCATCCATTCTCATAACCAGCAAGCCGCCATGCCAAGTCAGTTTTATTCTTAATTCAGCAATTTTCAATGTTTGACTCTGATAAGTTCTGGTGGGTATAATGTGCGGGGGGGAAAAACCCAGCTGGAGGATACAATATGTCCAAAGTATGATCTCGGGTGTCCATTGGTCAAATTATTATAAATTCATATCTTATTAATGACATTAATAAGAATAAAGTGTGGAATGATTATTTCTTTATCACAGGAACAAATTATACGGCTCTTCGATAACGCAAAAACGCAATCCATGATCAGTATCAGACAATTTATATTCCTGTTTTATCTGCTGGTTGGTGAGATTTGACCCATTTGTCATTTAAATCATTACAAAGATCAGATAATTGATCAAACAAAAAATGAAAATAATAAAACATTTAAAAAAAACATTACTTTGATCTGAAAACCACTTGACTGCAGGATTTGCGAAAAGATCTCACCAAACCAGGAAGTAACTGATGCTTACTAAACTTTCTATAGCACTACTGAACGAGGCTTTCTATAAGTTGAAATTAATCTTTCTGCTGAACCACAAATCACAGATTTCATGACATCATGTAAAACATGAAGCTCTGCATACGCTAACACAGGGTTGGCCAAAAAGTAGAGCACCAGATGTTTTAAAACTACAGCTCCCATGATGCTATATAATTCTAAATGCATGCAAAGAATCATGGGAGTTGTTGTTCTACAATATACGGGGATTTACTTTTTGGGCACCCCTGAGCTGACCATATCGTCATCACAAGCACAAAGTTTATTCAGACGAGGCACACTGCACACTTTTTATTTAAACTTATAAAGGCGTACAAAGGGTAGGTACGGCAATGTCAGACTGATTGAGATGCAGTGAATAATTCAGCTGTTTCAGACATAGACTATTTAGGTGGGCCTATCTTTTAACACAAATTAAAGCATTTCAGGTGATATTCAATTTTCAAAGGAATAAAATGTGTCTTGAAGTGAAAGCGCTTTATTTTAAGCCAACATTTTGGGTGCATTGTATATTGAATAAACATTATCATCTTTAAACTTACGATACAATTAGCAGACAAATACTATTCTGATAAAAGCGGATCGCAGATGTAGTGTGACGTGGGTACTTAAATATGGTGGAACCTCTGTGAATATAGGCGCTAGTTTACAATGCCACAGTGAAATTCAGAAAAATGCACAGGGAATGGGTAGCAGAGAATTTTGGTAATTGTAGTGCAATCACAATAGGAAGGACAGTTATTTACATTTAAAAAAAAATAAAAAAAAATATGTGCCCAGCCAAAAGGCTAGCACTGAAATGAGCAATTTAACGTTTTCATGTTCCGGCTAGCCATTGGCAAGGGAAAATTCAGCTTTGGTAAGCGTGCAGTGTACCCCCTTTCCCTACAAGTGAGCATCCTCAGTGCTGTTTGAAATCAGCAGCTTATGTATAGTGGTTGCACATCTACAGGGACCAAAATATGGCATGATATAACAGAGAAAGACACTAACAGTTTAAAGTTCTTTAGAGATTGTAGAAATGTGCCTGTCAGACCTCAGCTATAACCTAGATCAAGCACTGTGCAGGGAGCATTTGAGGTATTGCAACAAAGAGCCTGCAAATCACCCAGACAGCTGACAGATTTATAGGGGGGGGGGGGGAGAGATCACAAGTAAGTTCCTTTCTCCTCCTCATTCATGTAAATGTACAGGGACACAGATTTGCTTTTTTCAGTTTGTTATGAATAATACTTAACTGTGGTTAACCTTTAAATCAGGTCATGTTAAAGGAGAGCTATTGTATTTATTGCTACTCTATCTATTCCCAGAGATAATGAAGTATGAGAAAGTTTGGAGCAGCAGGTAACGTTCAGATCTGGCTGGTTAGATAACCCTACAGAACTATACTTGACATTCCGTGTGTTAACACACTCTCGTCAGACTCTGCAAACAAAACAGAAACTCTTTCAAAACGTATAAATAAATGTAAAAAAACACACGCCCATCACATTTTACATCCGCAGAATTTACCTTGATCGTAGCTTTTCCTCATAGTTTGCTTGGAGATAGGTCCCCATGTTTACATAAATCACTTTACAAGTTGGTGTCTCATATCAAGGATTCATCCCTAACAAAGTCTTCCTGCTACACAAGCTAAGAAAATACGAAAATACACACCTATCTCAAACTGGTTTTTCCACCTCTCACACCTGTATCTCACTCAATTTCCAAACCAGTGAGGTTTTTTTTTTATGATTAAATTATGATTGGTCCTAATGCTATTCTGTGTCATGCAACATAGTCGTGATTAATAATATATGTCAACTACCGCCATGTTTGCAGGCGTCACAAGTATCTGTGTTGGGTAATACCGGTACAAGGAATAGAGAAATAAACAAAATGGAGAGTTCAGTCACCTATCAATATAAAGTGCATTTGTTAACGTTTGGACACATATTAAAGAAAAACTATAAAGTTATGAATATAAGACCGTAAAAGTGCACTCGCCCCCAGTCCTCCCACCCGCTCGCCAATGCGCCCTATAAAGTGATAAAAAGCCCTTTAAAACCTTAGCTGATTCCAGCGCTGATGTCCCATGGTACTGGGTAGGGTTCCTTCTCCGCATCCCTCAGCCAATGTGGGAAACCAAGTGCAAATGCGGGGTGAGTGCTGTACCATTGGGCCTTCCACATGGGAAAGCATTGACTTGATTCTTTCTTATGGGTTTGTCGACATGCTGAACGTCCTCACGCACTGCGTGAGGCTGTCCAGAATCATTTCACGGAGTCAAACGTCGTGAAAAACTGCAGGAAGTGCCTATATTTGCTGTCTACTAATCAGCCACTAGAGGCAGTCTTAACACTGCAGTGTTTTACAATGAGACATAGTGGTATAGTTGCCTATAATGTCCCTTTAATGCTGAATTTTTATCCACATTCAAATCTAATCCTATGCCTTAGCCACACCTCTCTTTTAGCCAAAGCAACTTCCTTTTTATAAGTACTCTGAGTATGTACTTAGCCCAGCCAATGAAAGACCAGTGAGAGCCGAATTGCCAACGGCAATCCACAATATCTGAAGTGTTTCATCCACAGTCAGTTGCAGGATTTACTCACAGTCTAGTCTACTTATAGTCTTTGAGTAGGTCCAGAGATTGTTAATGGATAAAACGTTGTGTTGCAAATTCATACATTGTAACTTATTGTTCTTTAGTACCTGGCCTAAGGTGTGTGTCGGGATATCTTTCGCATATTATTGTATTGGTAGCTTGAGGAGCTACGCCTCATGTCTCAGCACCCTGGTTAGGAAACTGGTGTGTGCTTACACTGCCATTAACTGCGATGGATCAGCTAAATGTATATACAAATAAATGTGCAACAAAATATATACTTTCTCCTTAATCGATCCACCCATCCTTCCCCTTAAATCACTCTCCCTGACCTTAAACTCTCACATGCAAGGAGAGCATTGTTAGATGTACGCTATATAGATGCTATTGGAGTCTGTCATTACTAGACCTGAACAAGGACGCTCTGGACATCACATTATGGATGAGCAATGGAGTTTTCTCAGAGTACTCCTTTTGGATGGATAGGTGTCTCCCTTTAAACAGGGCTTGACATATGTGCTTTGAATCTAGGAGCCAGCTAAAAACGTTAGTCAGTTTTTTTTATTTTATTTTTTACTAACAAAGTTTAATTTTTAGTAAAAACCAAATAAAATAAAAAGTTACCTGCGCTCTCTCCTTAATCCCTATGTATATTTAGACAAGTGGAGGTCATATAGTTGCTCCAATGGCCATTGGAGGGAATGCCCGCCTGCCAACGTCAAGGCAGACCCCCCTAAAGCGGGTCCTAACACTGACCCTTCAGCCTGATTCCTTGAGCTTCTGGCAAAGATATCTCTAATGAGACAGAGAGGGATATTTTTTTTTTTACATACACCCCTATATACTTATTAACCCTTAGTAGGGAACACATGGGATGGGCGTCAGCATTGTAACAAGGCTGTGTGATACAAAACCTTGGCTTTTCAGATAAAAGGCAGCGTTTACTTTGCTGCCTAGTAACACCTCTAGTGACAGTCACCAAGACGGCCACTAGAGGTAATTCCTAGTCTAGTTCAGCGGCAAGGTTCAGCATCTCCACACTCTGCATGGAAGGGTTGAATGTTCCCCATAGAGATGCATTGAGGAGATGCGGATTGGGGCAGCGCAGAATTTTGTCGCGTATGTGCAATAGCCTCCATATTCTTTCCCATGGGAAAGCATTGGCCTGCCTGAGATCTTCAAGTGACACACTCACAAAAATGTTTTTTAATAATAATTTATGTCCAACCAGCCGCCCTACCTGGGAGAGCTGTAGTTGATCATTTCCCTGGGGTCCAGTAGGGCTTGTATAATCTTTAAGGTGTTCTTGCTTGGCTCCCTCCCGCAATGTTGAGTAACGCTGGTGCCAGACTGACATCATATTCCGGCTTCCAGCATCACAGCAAGGGAGCAGAGCAAGAACTGCAGGAAGATTAGAGCTTCCTCGCGGCCCAGCTCCACATTCCCTGGGCCTGACAAAAACCCAGAAGCCAGGACAAAATTCAGTCACCATGGTGACCTGGTGTCAGATTTTCCGAGCCCTGCTGTAGAAGCTGTAAAAGTCTGGTCTTTCTATTCTTTTTGGTTACCTACCTGGGTGTTGATCACTAGTAGCCGTATCATCCTATCTTTTACTCTCATTCCACATGTTTCTCCTTAACTTCAATTGCAACAACTATAACATATTCTTCCTCACCCTGCGGTCAGCGGCCGTGCATCTGCATGTCTGACACTTGCGGCATGTTAATGGATGCCAGCCATTGCGGATCCATGGCAAAATATACCCCACGTCGGCTCACGTGATTGATGACATCAGCATGCACGTGGGGTCAAGGAGCGATTTCAGCCAATTAGAAAAGTAAAGCAGGTATTTAAACCTAAAAATACCTGTCCTCATTGCCCTGTTGTGGTTTCCCTAGTGGTTGTCCAAGAGCGCGTTCCTTATTCTGGTTATTTGACTTTGGCATTGTTTTTGACTTCCCTGTTTTCTGGCATCCCTGACCTCTGGCTTTCCTTTATCGCTGTATCCCTTTCTGTGTCCCCTGACCTCGGCTATTCCTGACTATTCTCTGGTACGTTAGTCCGGCCATTCTAAGGCCCGGTATACGTTACCTATTAGTCTCCTGTGTAACACAATTCTACGTGCTGGATCATACTGTAATCCTGTCATACTATACCTTGTCTATTAGAGTATAGGATGTTAGCTATGGACCTATTCTCTAAAAGAGTTTCTCCAACCAGCCTGAACCCTTCTGCTTTTAGAAGTGGTGATGGTGGTAGGAATCTTGACGTGTAGCATTTCTGTTGTGTTACAGTTAGATTTTATAAGGATTTAGTATATCTATAAAAAAAATAGGGATTGGGGAGAGGGCTTGGACAAGCTATTAATGCCCCATGTGTGCCCAATAAGAATCTAAAATGTATTTGGAGTAACCTTTAATTTTCAGCAATAAAAATTCTTAATTTACAATGAGAGATGATCGTATGCTCCGTAACCAAAAAGTCATCACACTTCGAAGGTTATTAAATAACGTGAGAATTGTTAGGAATTCACAGTGAAATTCTAAGCTAAGGCTTAAATAACCAAAAACTGAAATAGACTTGGAAGATTTATCCAGTTTGGCTATTTTGACAATAAATTTGAAATTGGATTAGAATTTCCAACAATTCTTTAGTAAATAAGCTTGTTACTGTTGTATGGAAAAAATAGCCGTAGATCAACCTTGGCTCATACTCTGATACCTGCAAATATACGCAGATTAAATCCATCTCTCCCACTAAAGGGGCCAGCTACTGATCTGATAAAAACTCTAAATTCTCCAGCTGAAGGAAAACCTTTTCAGTGTACTTTTTATTCCTGGCTAATCCATGGCAGCATTGCATATTGTGATGCTGCCATGGATATATCCAGGAAAAGAAAAATACGGTAAGTATGGTTACATTTTCCTTATTCTAACCCTGCAATTTATTTTTTTTATATCACAGTCTTTCACGTAGCAAAAGATTATATTTAAAATAAATATGACTGTATATGGCGTAAAGAAAACATTACTTAAAGGACCAATTTACAATGCTTTCCTATGGACGCTTGCGTGCTCTTACTGTGATTTTCACAGTGAGAATCACGCAAGCGCCTCTAGCGGCTGTCAATGAGACAGCCACTAGAGGCTTTGGAGGCTGGATTAACCCTATTATAAACATAGCAGTTTCTCTGAAACTGCTATGTTTTTTAAAAAATGGGTTAATCCTAGCTGGACCTGGCACCCAGACCAATTCATTAAGCTGAAGTGGTCTGAGTGCCTAGAGTGGTCTTTTAAGGGGTTAAAGTGACACTATAGTCACCAGTGCAACTACATGTATTCCTGACCCTATAGTGTTAACACGACCATCTAGCCTTGGGCCCCTCATGCCTCCATAAATATAGTATAAATCTTACTGTATTCAAGCCAGAAGCTGTAAATCTGCATGCTGTTAGACTCAGAAAAACAAGCAGTCTGCTGACATGTGGTAGCCTGATCTAATCACAGTGCTTCCCCATAGGATTGGCTCAGAGTGACAAAGAGGCAGATCAGGGGCAGAGCCAGCATGATTCAAACACAGCCCTGAATTGAATCAATGAATCTATGAGGAAAGTTCAGCGTCTGCATGCAGTGGGAGGAGATACTGAATCACATGATGCTAGTGCACAGCAGATCTGAGTGGATGGAGGCATATTATGCCTCCATCAACTCCGAAGTCCCTCTGGTTCACTCTGAGTGACTGCAACTGGAGGTGTTCCTAGCTTTCAATGTAAACACTGTATTTTCCCAGAAAATACAGTGTTTACATGAGAAAGGCTGCAGGGAGCTATAGTTCTCACCTGAACAACCTCATTAAGCTGAAGTTGTTCAGGTGACTATAGTGCCCCTTTAACCTCCCTGGCAGTCTGATTAGTTCAGTATTTTTTAATGTTAAAGTGGTACATTGTTTTTACAGTGTATTGTGTGTATTTTATTTTCACCAGGGGCTCGTGGGGACAAGGTAAGTAATACTACAGTGTAATCATGTAGAATATTGCATATTCTGTGTTTTTATTGATCATTTATGGACATCTGGATTGACATAAGTAACAGATGGTATCAATAAGTCACAAGGTTTTCATGTATGAGAAGTCTGGAATGTGGATTGGGGGTCTTGTCCTTATATGGCTAGAGTTATAGTCTGACGTAACTATGGACACATCTATATAGTAACTGAACAAAGGGACACAAAGTCTCTCTCTCGGCTCTTCTTCCCTTACAGCTATGTAACTCTCCCTTCAGAAGTCCAGCAATTACCATATGCTGTTGAACATCCATGATCATGTAACATCCTTTGTTGTTTTATTATGTATCCGTAAGAATAAACATGAAGTAACCGCAAGTCAGATTGTACTAGTATAGACATATATTAATGGTTTCGAGCCTTTGACCCAAGAATATATATACATACATACATACATACATACACACACATACACACACACACACACACACAAAAAAAAATCAGTCAACCAGAAGAAACTAAGATTTTACAAATCCTGAACGTGGCTCGGAGTTACTGCTTTTGGTACTGGAAATTAACCCCGATCCACGCTCGGGATTACCGCCAGGGAGGCTAAATAAATAACTTCTTAGAGAACAAAATAGATACATTTTAACAGGAACCATGAACCTTACGAGTTTGGAGGGCACACAAGTTAGTTGCATTCATATACAATTAAAAACAAACAGTAATGCTGGTTTACTTTCTCCTATGCTGCTCCAATTTGAAATGCGTTAGAGCCGAGCTTATTGCCTACATTGTTTTATCATGAACGATGGGTGAAAGCCAGCATGCTTTATTTTATTCTATTTTTTACTATTGTCGTGATATTCCTTTAAACAAAAAATGTTGCGTACACAAAGGTATCATCTTCTATTTGGCTAATCAAATAGGTATTTTCTATGACTCCAATATTTGCCGAACGACTCGCTGTAATGAAAAAAAGACGAAAAAAAAAAAAACCCCACAAACAAACCGGAATAATTATCACTATTAAGAAAAATAAAGGGATCATCATGACAGGCTTAGTCACTTCCTGGTTTGGGAAGAGCAGATTTAGAAAAAAATAAACTTAAAAAGGGAGAATCTTAATTTCTTTTTGATATTTTAATTAATTTTCTAATCCACAAGAAAGTATATCTATTCCGGCCTAGAGCAGGGGTCCTCAAGCACCCCTTACCAGGCCAGGATTTAGAGATTACCCTGTTGTCTTAAGTGTGTGTTTTTTGTTTTCTAAAAACACATTCGACACAATTGGGTAATTCTTAAATCCTGGACTGTTAGGGGGACGCACTGGCCTAGAGAGTCCCTTTTACAGATCCTCAGGTAAGTGATATTTCACAATTGTCATTGTTGCTGGTATTCTCTTCCGGTTGCACAGTTGCAGGCTTTGCACCTGTTCCCCTTTGGTATTGGGCTCGCTTGTGACACACCACACCCTTTATATGACACTTTATCTTGCTTAAGTGTATCATGTGTTAAAAGTGTGTATGTTTTCCATTTTACAAAAAGAGTTGATTTCAGTAGAAATTGGCACATTTATAAATTAATCTTATTACACCCCACTGGCTGTTAGTTCCTGGTTGCTTATTCATTAGAGGTAAACGCAAGAGGCAGAGAATTACCCAGAGCACCTGCATTGCACAGACTTCTCATTGAGCTGCATTGGGAAGTCTGTGATTGGACAGCAACAGAATGTCTGGGCGGGGTTAGAAGGGGAGGGCTTGCAAATCCTGCAGACAAGAGATCTGCCGCTTTTGCAAGCTGTTTTTAGATCAGGGCTTGACAAATTTGTTAGGAGCCAGTCATTTACCACGAGAAAAATGCCATTCTTAAAGAGACACTATAGTCACCAGAACCACTACAGCTTGATGTAGTTGTTCTGGTGTCTGTAGCCTGTCCCCTGCACGCTCTCAGTATAAACACTGCATTTTCATTTAAGGCAGAGTTTACGTTGCTGCTTAGTAACACCTCTAGTGACAGTCACTCAGACAGCCACTAGACAGTCCTGGAATACACTATGCAGCACCCAGGTTCAGGGTATCTAAGCTCTGCATGGAGGCTCTGAATGTTCCTCATAGAGAGTCATTTATTCAATGCATCTCTTAGGAGATGCGATTTGGCACATTTTCTGCGCATGCCCAAAATCATACCAAGGGTTTCCTTAAATTCCATTTGTAAATGACAAACTATCTATTATAGAATATCAGGTAAAAAATAAATAAAAGAATGAAATCTTTTAATCAAGTTTGCCTTTTTGTATTTGAACCCATCCATACAAGAGAGGCAGCACTTATACTTGTAACCCTTTAAGGACCAAACTTCTGGAATAAAAGGGAATCATGACATGTCGTGTCCTTAAGGGGTTAAATACAATGTATTAAAAAAAAAACTAACAAAAAAATGACATGCAAAGAATCCAGCTTACAACACAACAGCCATTCTATTGCTCACTCAGCAATGAAGAAAAAGCTGAACTTTTTTTTCCCAGCAAATCACTGCTTTTCTATGTACAATGTATGGAAGGAGTACTAGGCATGGACTTTAATAACATTATAAGCAGCGTTTTCAGTAGTTCTGTGTTTTCCTGTGTAAAATAGTCAAATAAGCTTAGCACAACTGCAAGTATGCACATTCATTTTACTGAAAATCTTGCTATTTTGCATTTTCAACAGTACCAATGGGAATTGATGATGGCCAAATTCAGCAGGTTTTTGTATTGATATTTTTGCAAAAAAAAGACATCTCTGCATGCATATTAAACAAGGAAAGGAGTTTTAAAAAGCACACTCCAGATCTCCAAAGCAGTCTGGCTTGATGAAATGATTTAAGGGTGATAAAAAAGGGTGACAGCCAGGAGAGCTCCACAATTCATTCTGCCTAAACAATCATTCAAGCAGATGTGAAAGCGTCCATAGGGATACATTAGTCTAATATTTCCCTATGAGAAGCATTCTATTGGCGACTGGCACATTTGTGGTAATTGCAGTGCATGTGCCATTCAGCTGGAGAGGAAAGAATTGTGGCACTGGCAACCTCTTGGGAAAAAGTAGAAAAGTTTCAAGAGAGGAAGGACTTGTTGTGGTGTATATTTTTTTTCATTTTGTAAGGGGTGCATTTAAAGAAATAGTTTTTTTTAATGGTGGAGTGGGTTAGATTAAATTAAAAGGACCACCATAGGGTCAGGAATATAAACGTGTATTCCTGACCCTATAGTGTTAAAAACCCATTTTAGGCTTCCGGCCCTCCTTAAAACAAAAGAAAACATAGCTTTATTCCAGTGCTGCGCAGGTCCGCCTGCTTGGCTGACATCATCAAACCTGACAATCTCAACAAATTCAATGCTTTCCCGTAGGAAAGCATTCTGAGGCTAATGCCGCGCTGGCAAATAAGCATCTCCTCATAGAGGGAAAGTTCAGCTGAAAAGACAGTGTTTACAGCAAAAAGCCAGAAGGGAACATACTATACTCCGCAGAACAAATACAATAAACTGTAGCTGAATGAGAACGCTAAGAACCCCAAATCATAAAAATAAAATAAAAATACGTACCTCTATCACACAGGTTTATGAATGAGCAGCTAGTGAACTGCTAATGCGCTCAGCCTCTCGGTGAAGCTCTGTCAGAGCCTGATTGATTAAGCATAGGTCCACCACAGGACGTTGCTGGGCACAGAATTTGGGCACCGTCTTCATAATTTGGGTATGAAATCATTAATTAATGGTTAACCCCTTAAGGTGAGATGGTGCCTGGGACCTTCTAACACCATAAAAACTTAATTTCCAAATAAGTTGTTATGGTGCCCAAAGTGATCTTTAAAATGTGTGAATAGCTGAAGTGCTTCTTTAAGTATCACATGCAAGTCCAATCCATTGTATATCCAACCTAGGCCAGAAAAGTACTTTATGGTATCATTAAAACTCACAATACCGTGATGGAAACCTTTTGAAAATGCCGATAATCAAAAAATAAAACAACATTATTAATCAACAAAACTGGGAACGTTTTTTTGGAAAACATTACAAAAGAAATTATATTCTAAATCATATATATGAAAAGCAACTGCCTCTAAACTAATTAATACAACTAATTGCTTCTATTTTAGGTTTTATTGACTGGACTACTGGAGCAACATAACCCAAATCTTTACATTTCCTGAAACGTGTTTCATAAACTAATTGTTTTTTAATAATAATTAGGAAAATAATAAAAGATTATTGTACAATAATTAAGAAAATATAAGATGTCCTTTGCATGAATATTGAAAGGGTTTCAGAATACATTTTAAAAGTAATAAAAAAAAAAAAAACAAGCGTGTTTCTTCAATCTAAGAACAATTCTTTTTTCTTTAGCAATACGAGGACCTTTTCCCCAATTATATTTGAGTACAAAGTAAATCTGCAGATTACTTTTAGAATGGACATCTATAAATTGAGATGCATGCTGGAAAAGCAGGTCACAAGGACAAGGAATAAATCCCGAGGTATTGTAAAACTTGTGTGGACACAACATTCTGTATAAAAAAAACAAACGTATATAGAAATCCCACACATGCAAACACAAACGAACAAACAAAAACAAGAAACCCGTCAACGTGAATGTTAAGCACACACCTTGTTTCCATGTTAAATTCCTTAAAAAAAAAGAATATTTTTTTTATAAATATATCTTAAAATATTTATGATATTTTGGAACCCAAAAACCTATCTACTGGCATGTTATCATTTCTTCCCGGACGTGGTTTTATCTTCTGAATCTAATGCGGCAATCTGGCTAAACCTCTCAAGAATGTCTTCTGCTGTTAGTTTTGGAAGTCCTCGATCCAGGGGGCAGCCTTCAACAAGACTGTTCATAGGGGTGGGAGGAAAGGAGTTCTCATCTTCTGCTCCGTCATCGGTCTGTTTTTTGAAACCATAATAAAATCTGGCAGCCCTTGGCTCCTCTCCGACACAATTATCTGGGTTATCAAACTGATCCCCAAACTCCACGATGAATTGATTATCTTCCAAGCCTTCATTTGCCAGTGGGGCTCCACCACCCACGTGTCCTTTATTCTTTTCATTATCCTGAAATGGCTGCATGGAGTTGGATGAACTGTCCCCGAGGTCTCGCTTTCTTAAAAAATCTTTAAGAAGTGGCAAAACTTTTTTCCGTGAAGCAGTGGTTTTACCTTGGTGATAGGCGGCAAGGTTTTCACATGGATTAGAAGCAATTGGTGAGAGATCAAGAGGTGGGTTTGTAGCTTGCTCCAAGACTTTGCACACCTACAAAAGTAAAACAAGAAGGTCTTCAAAAACAACATTTAGAACATTTGTACACTAACAAAATCCTATATAAACAGGAAACATGACTGTGTTCCTATCCCCAACACACGTATAAACAAGGTTCAGACAAGTTTAATAAACAAAGATTGTAACTAGAGTATATTCCTTATATATGGAAGTTTTTTTCTAGATTACAACAAATTTTGATCAACCTAGAGATGGGATTTGGTGGTCAGAATCTGTCTCCTTACTGGGCAGGAAGGAAAGAAAAATAAATAAATGCATGCACTCTCCCCTGACCACTGTGTGAGGTACATAGGTGTCTTATTGCCCACTTGGGTGGGGGAGAGAATAATTCTGTGCTAGTATTACTGTACATAGTGAGAGAGAGCAGAGTGTCAGTCCATGTCTCTCTGCAGCTCTACAATCTCCGCTTGGTAGACCATTCCTCCATCTGGCACCTATCTGCTTCCCAAAACACTGTCCACCTACCACCTAAAATCAATACCCCTTACTCTCAGTATTGTGCCTCCTGCAGGTCTGCTTCTTCGTACAAACACTGCTATACATAGCACGCCAGCTGGCAGAGCACAGGGACAGCAACGGATTCCGAAAATCGCAGGTTCAGAAAGCACACCGACAGCAGTGTGAGCCTTGTGAACCTTGCTCCAGGTTAGCTAGAGATTATTTCCAACACATGAGGTTATGAACAAACAGGGTCCCTGAGTAGATGGTAAAGACATTCCTTCCAGCTATCTATCAATACACACACACACACAAACATGTTAGACATCTTTATGATAGAATTTGATGATTATATTTAGCAAAGATTTTACAATTGTTGCATGAACCAACCATACTACTGTATTTTAATGTTTTAATGCAATAAATAAATTATGAAACTTGTATCTTGCTTTGTAGTGCATAGGCTACGCTGGGAAAATAATTGCAAACTTTCTGTTAATAACCATTATGCTTTTCTTAAAATGTGTCATATCAGAGACTGAGGAGTTTAACATGAGAACCCATTTCCTCTTCTAAAGAGTATAACTCTGATGTTCAAAGTAGTGGAGCTGGGACAAATGTACCCAAATACTGGTTAATAGGCAGTCTCCTACAACAAAGAGAAATACCAGCATCGTAAATACCATGTTTTGGTTTCTGGCAGTAAAGGAGAGACCTAGGACACAAGCGGTAATCAAAGAAATGGTCTTACTGTAACTCACCACGATTATGCCAAACTGCTTGCTGATAAAATGACGGCTTTAGAAATAAAATAAAACCTATAGGATGTTTATCCAGGATTGCCTTGAGAAGGAGTGTGCTGTGCCCAAATAGAGCTCGCATTTCACAATTGCTAAACTTTAAACCTTTGGCCAAGTTAATAAGTGACAGGTGCAAGTCAATACCAGAGCAGCCCAGAGGGATATAAATATACTTTCATTTTTTTCCAAAAAGTAAAACTTTGAACATCAGAATTACGTGCCTGGTCTTATGACACTTTCCAAGCTAATTTGCATTAAATATAGTGATAAAAAAACAAAACAAAAAGAATTTTAAAAAAACCAAACATAAACCAAACAACCTTGAACCATGCCGTAACATTTAAAATGGAAAAAAAATGTTTATGGGGCCAACAAAAGATTCTATACTGGGTTAAAGTGGACCTGTCACCTTTAAATTACAAAGCCCTTAAAGGGACACTATGGCACCCAGACCACTTCAGCTCATTGAAGAGGTCTGGGTGCAGTGTTCCTATTGCAGCACCAAGTCTGCCAGCCACTAGAGGGCTTCCTGGTTTGAAACGGACCTATGGCATGAGCATTAGTGCCTGCTGGTCACAGGATTCAGAGGGAGTAGAGCGTCGACCCAGCGCCGAGGGACATGGGTGCTGCGATAAGGTAAGTAAATAAAGGGTTTTTAACTCTAACATGGAGGGGGGCAAGAGGGAAGCGATAGTGCCAGGAATACAGCTTTGTATTCCTGGCACTATTGTATCCCTTTAAGCCTGGTAGTTTGATTGGATATCCTGATAATCAACTGTGAGTGTATTATAGTATAGAGACTACTTTATTATTATTGACATTTATATAGCGCCAACAGTTTGCGGAGTGTTTTTTTTTTAAATAGTAGCAGGTTGACGAGGAACCTTCCTTAAACTAACTTACACTCTCAGGGAGCTGCACTTTTGAAGCTCAATAGGAAGGGCAGAGTGTGAAGGATAGTAACCAAAAGACAGAGTGGAAAAGTAGCAGAATGGGGAGACGAGAGAGAAGTGGAGAATGGACCAACTAATTAAGTCGAGAGTGTAATTAGAGTTACCCTGGGAATCCATAGACTATTCTCGATAGGAGACACCTAAAACTTTGAAAAGAGGTGTGCTTAGGGAATTAGGTGCAGACACATAGCACCGTATGATACTCGATCTCCACCTTATTAAATACAGAGTGTAAATTACAAGGAAAAAGGTTAAAATACAACATTATGATTTGACATCATGGATACCAGAGGACCATGGGAAAGGTAAACTAATTTACATGAAATGTCATCTATGTTCCTTTTCAAAGTCAGAAAGTTTTATCGCAACAAAATAAAACAATCAAAAGATTTAAAAAAAAAAAAAAAAAAACCCCATATGAATGAAATGAACAGAAGAAATAGTTTCCTTTTATATGTGGATTATGATACAAATACACAGCTGTGGTTCATCCTAAAAATGGAAATGCGTGTATTCGCCACCTAGTGTTAGGCTTGTGAACTTTACATTTCTTTCTAAAGTTGCCTTAAAACATTTTATTATTTATATAGCGCCATCAGATTCCATAGTGCTGTACATACCAGTGTCCTGTGCTCTTGATGTGGACTGTACACAGCT